TTCCAGCTGTCCACTGGACACCTCCACCCGGACTCCTTGCTATCTCCCATTGACAGACCCAGACCTAAGCCCAGTTTCCGCAGCCCCCAACCTGTGTCTCCTACCACAATCCATCAACGAGTGGTACCACCTTCCACCGATGTCTCAGGGCAAAAATGTGGACACTGCCTTCGACGCCTGCCTTCCCTTTACTCACCCGTAGGCCAGTCCTTGGGTTTGCTTCCAAAATATCTGCGGCCTCTATCCTGTTCTGGATCCTGGTTCCTGTGGTCATCATGTCGTCATGGCTGTCTTGCATTCCTGGAGAACCTTCCCTGGGCTCCCTGGGTCCAGTCTTTCCTTCAACCATGGACTGCTGACTTCCCACTGCAGCCAGAATGATCCTCCTAATGTAAATCTGCCTCCCCCGCCCCATCCCTTATCTTTCTAAATGGTTGGGCGACCGACTTCGGCTCAGGTCATGATCTCACAGTTCCTGGGTTCGAGCCCCGCGTCGGGCTCTGTGCTGACAGGTCAGAGCCTGGAGCCTGCTTCAGATTTTGTGTCTCCCCCTCTCACTGACCCTCCCCTGCTCACGCTGTCTCTCTCCGTCTCTTAGAAATACATAAAACATTAAAAAAAAATAACAGGCAGTGGCAGTCTGCCTGGGCCTGACCTCCTCTTTAGGCTCCTCCCACTGCAGGCCCCTTCAGCTGTCCTGAGCTACTTTCACTTTCCCATATTGGCTCTGCCTCATGCCCTCAGGCTTGCACATGCTGTTGTCTTTGCATTCCCCTCCCTGTTTTTGCCTTGCTACTTTTTATTTCTTGCCTAAATCTACACGTTAGGGTCACTTCCTATAAAAAGCCTTCTCCAATTCCCCCAAGACTAGGTTAGGTATTCCTAAATGCGCCCCTTTTTACGGAGCACATAAAAGTCAAATCGCGTTACGATTACCTGTTGAATTGACTTTCTTCCCTTCTCATCGGTAAACTTCATGAGGGGAGTGCAGGGTTTATTCACTAGTCTATCCGGGACATCTAGTACTGCACCTGACATATCATTTATCAAGAAACCAGTCTTTTACTTTACCAGCAATACTTGCCAAGAGCTGTCTTTGCCACTCCGTCCTAAACTGTTTCAGGTTAGGACCAAATCTGGCTCATTGTACCATACCCAGCACTTTGTGGGTATTTCGCCTGCCACTTTTGGGAACTTTATTGGACTTGAACTTACTAAAAACATATGAATGTAAATTTTAAAAGTTAAATGAGATTAGGAGGTAATGTGATTAATTGAATGAATGTGCTGTAAAGGAGATATGTGAATGAGTATTGCCCAATCATGATTGTTTGAAGGTAAGAAAAAGCCTTAAAGCATTTATTTGAGGGTCAGGTTGGCATGGGCTGGAATGTTAGCTCCACCACTTAGTAACACGGTGATCTTGGGCAAGTCAGTTTCTGCTCAGAGCCTCAACTTCTTCATACATAAAGTGAAATATAATGCCTGTCTTACAAGGTTGTTACAAAGATTATAGCTGAGCTATAATATCTGACTCATAGAAGTTGCTCTGTGAATTTTAAGTTATTTTCTCTTTTATTCCAACAAAGCTGCCTTTCCTGAAACATTTTTGGAATTTCTTTTTTGAAATCCTTTTCAGAGCTGGTTATAGATCACCAGAATATATCAATGGGAGAAATCACTTTTTCTTTGAGGATCTGTGTGATTTTTAGAAACAGCTTGGTTCAGAGAGCAAGATCAAGATAGTTAATACCATTTTTGATATTAAAAAAATTAAGTGTGATTATAATGAGATTTTCTTTTGTAGCATCTAAATTGGTACATAGTCTAGCTTTCTCACAGGTGGCATTGACAGCATATTCCATCTGGCACGTTAAAATCCAGGGAATTAATTATACAAAAGTCTTTTGATTTTGAATTGTGCTTTGATAAATCAAGTAGTATTAGCAAGCTCAAGAGAACCGAGGTCTTTAATCATATTCTTAATCACAAGTTAACATTCAAAATTTTTCTTTGAGTGAAAAAGAATTTAGGAAGAAAATGATCCAAGGTGCTGCCCATATGCTTGTCTGTATTTGGGGCCCTTCTCTTTTCACCCAGGCCCACAGGAATCCATGTGGCCACAATGCGATAAGGCCGATGGTGTCTCATAATGACCCAGAGGAGCCTGGCACCTTTGAGGGCCTGCCCTTGGTAGGAGGGGAGGAGCCAGTTGGGGGAAAGGGCTGGGGATGTACAGGTAGGCACGCAGCTGTTACAGAAGTAGTGACGGCTGGTAGAGAGGAATCCAGTGGACATGATTGTCGTAGAAGAGACTGGAGGCAGAGGTAATTTTATAGGAAAACTACATTTTTCCTATAGTAGTAGGAACCTACTACTATTTTCCTATAGTAGTTTTGTGTGGTGGTAGTGGCCCCCCCAGGGCAGTGTGGAAGCTGGACTGAGGGTTAACCTGGTCCGGGGCATCCAGTGACACGTGCCCAGGTTACTGCAGGGAACCCAGTTTTCCTTGGTGATCCATTGGTTACTGAGGATTGAGTATTTTATCTTGTCATTGTATAGAAGGTCGTGAATGTGAGGTGTCAAGTCAACTATAAAGACTTGTCATGTTAATTATTTTTAAATATTTTACTTTGTACCTTGAATTTCCCTTAGTGTGTGTGTGTGTGTGTGTGTGTGTGTGTGTGTGTGTTTAAACTATGTATATAATTGTTGCTGTTAGGATGACTCACTGAGAGCAGTTGATGGAGAGCATTTGGGTAGAAAAGCAGAACATGAATACTTGTGACTCTTGGGTGGGGGAGGGGTGAGAAGCTTATGCAGCAACCTGTTGCCACAGTGTAGGTGGCGAATAGTCACTCAAGCAAGTGGAGACTGAACTTGGCAGTAAAAGGTGCCTGGTGGTCTAGACCTCCCAAAGGATTAGCCACCCCTAAAATGTTTGTTGTAGAACAGCATGCACTTTTAAGTGTCATTATAATTTTAAGAGAACATTATTCTGCGGTTTCAGATGGGGAGCATTTTTTAAATTAAATGAAAATTCCAATATTGTTAACATACGGTGTTATAGTAGTTTCAGGTGTACAGTCTAGTGATCTAGCAGGTCCATACATTACTCCATGCTCGTCATGATAAAAGTACTCTTTATTCCCTGTCACCTCTTTCACGCACTCCCCCCCCCCCCCCCCCCCCCCCCCCCCCCCCCCCCCCCCGGTAACCACTAGTTCTCTTTAGTTAAAGAGTCTGTTTCTTGGTTTTTCTCTCTTCCCACCCCCCACCCCCCTTTGTTCAGTTCTTTCTTGAATTCTACAAATGAGTGAAATGTTATTTGTCTTTCTCTGACTTCCTTGGCATTATTCTCTCTAGTTTCATCCATGTCCTTGCAAATGGCAGGATTTCATTCTTTTTATGGCTGAATGATATTCCACTGTATGTATATACACCACATCTTCTTCATCCATTCATCCATCGAGGCTCACTGGGTTGCTTTCCCATCTTGGCTGTTGTAACTAATGCTGCAGTAAACACAACGGGACACATTAAATGTTTCTGTGTTCTTTGGTAAATCCCACAGACAAGTGGCATGGGCGCTTGGCCTCACACAGTGCTTCCTTCTAAAAGCTGGCTGCTCCGTGTGATCTAGGGGGCGTTCTCCAGCCTGGCTGGGGACGAAAAATCATCAAGCAGCCTTTAACCTCAGCTATGGCAAAAAGCAGAAGGTTGTTTCATTTCTTTTAGTTTAAATCTACCTCAAAATTATGTTTCAAATGACTAAAAATGCAGAATATAAGGCCTCCAATGTTAGGAGAATGGTCTAGCAAGAGTATCTATTTTTTTTAGAAATAATGTAAGTGAAAGAACCCTTTTCTCCTTTCAGTTCTTTGCTGTAAGTTGTGGATTGGCTCAGTGTTTTTAACCGTGGCTAACCAGGTTGAAGTTACTGTCTTAGCTCCATCAATATGCCTTAGGATACACTCTTAACAAGAAGATTCTGGGGCCTGATGGGCAGTCAGTCATTTAACGTGCTCTTATAGTATAAATGGCATACACACATTTTAGGAACTTTTATATTAAATAGACAATTTTCTGACAGAATGTTTTCATTTTTGCAAGCCAAAATTTCACCTCATGCCAAAATTTCCTACTTGTGATATAATTGAGTGTCTGACAGGGATATAAAAAATAAGAGATTTAGATAAAACAGTAGCAGAAGCAACTAAACATCAAATTTATTTCTGCCTAATGACCAGAGTAATTTCCACTGGATAATAAAAATACAGGATATGTGCATTAATCTTCTAATGCTGCTCTAATAAACTGCTGCAAACCTAGTGACTTAACACGGCAAGAATTTATTATCTTCCACTTCTGTGGGTTAGATAGAAGTCCAGCATGGGACTCACTGGACTAAAATCAAGGGGTCCATAAGAACTGCATTCCTTCTGGAGGCTCTGGGGAGAAGCCATTTCCTTGCCTTTCCAGCTTCTAGAAGGTACCCCCATTCCTTGACTGGCGGCCTCCTTCCATCCTCAGGGCTAGCAAGCTTGCACCTTTCTGACCATTTTTCCATAATAGCATTTGCTGCTGATCACAGCCAGGATAGTTTGTGTACTTTTAGGGACCCCTGCGATTAGTTTAGTCTCCCCTGCATAAAACCAGGATTATCTTCCCATCTCCAGATCCTAAACCTAATCACATCTGTTAAATCCCCTTCACCACCTAAGTAAGGTAACATATTGTCAGATTCTGGGGATTAGGATGTGGGAGTCTTGGAGGGAGTGGTATTTTGAATACCATTATATGGAAATCCTTAACACCGGGTTTCATCAGGGAAAGTACTTTTCACAAGTGCCTGTGCTTTGTTACAGGCCTTTTAGAAACTTTCACTTGGGTATTTTATAGGGAATGGTTGTACGTATTTAAAACAGAAAAAAAGTTTTGTTTGGATCTTAGCCTGCTGATTAAAGCTAATGTTCATTTTTTTTTGTTTGCCCTAATAGTGATAACCTGCTAAGGAGAGCTGCCTGCCAAGAAGCTCAGGTAATGTCACTTCATGTGCTGAAGTGAAAACCCGCTTTCGCTCCGCTGCGCAGAACACCCTGGCTCTTCCAGGGGACCTACACCCCAGCTCTTCCAGGGGTGCCTTGCCTCGGTGTGGTTTGGATGTATTTTCCTACTATCAGGGGATGAGTCAGCCTGAGAGCCAGCTCTGAGTAGGACTGGAGGAAGGTAACCGTCTGGTGAAGAGCAGTTCTGACGCCCACCCCTTTAGACGTGCTTTACTTCTGGATTTGACCTAAGAGCGTAGAAGTAGGCTGGTTGGAGCTCTGGGAGTTTGTTCATGTCTGTGGTTGTCCTTGAAGATCGGACTAAGCCCTGAATCTTCCTTGCCCCAAATAACCCCCAAGGATATCTGTTCAGACCAGGTGTTACTTCTCAAAGTCAAATCTTCTCACAACTGTTGATTAGTATTTGTAAAGCCTGTTTAGCACAGTTGGTTCATACCACGTGTGCATTGTTCTCCCAGGCCTGTGATGCATGTAAATATTCCTGTATCTGGCTGCCTTAGTTACAGTTGAATTAGAGATCCTTTCAAGTTCAAGGAGCGCCTGGGTGACTCAGTCGATTAAGCGTCTGACTTCGGCTCACATCTGATCTCACCGTTTGTGAGCTCCAAGCCCGGCATGGGGCTCTGTGCTGACAGCTCAGAGCCTGGAGCCTGCTTCCGATTCTGTGTCTCCCTCGCTCTCTGCCCCTCCCCCAGTCATACTCTGTGTCTTTCTCTCTCTCACAAAACATGAAAAAAAAATCCTTTTAGGTTCAAGACCACATTCTTCTTCTTCCATCCCCTCCAGGTTTGTACATTACACCTTGCAGGTGAATTTTCATGACTGAGTTGCCTTTTTATTGTATGTCATTTAGGCTTACGGTACCAGAGATACCAAAAAGGAAACATGAAGTAAAAAATGACAAAGGTATGATGTGTTTAGTAGAAGAGGGAGGTTGCAAGCCTCGTGTTTGTTACTGAGATATTTTCATAGATGACAATGGCAATAGATACTATTAATAAATTCTTCTCTTTGGTGATTATCTAACTGTTCTAAATCTGTGTTTTAAGAATTTGATTACTTTTCTGTTTGTTTTGATCTCCTATGGCTCTGCTGTTTTGAAAATCAATTCAAGGGACACCTGGGTGGCTTAGTTGATTTGGCATCTGACTCTTGATTTTGGCTCAGGTCGTGATCCCAGGGTCTTGGGATCGAGCCCCATGTTGGGCTCTGTGATGAGCATGAAGGCTTGAAATTCATTCTCATTCTCTTTCTCTCTTTCTCTCTCTCCCCCCACCCCTTCTCCCTCTGCCCCTCCCCCCACTCTCTCACACACACACACACACACACACACACACACACACACACTCTCTGTCTCTCTCTCTTAAAAAAAAAAAAAAAGAATATCATTTCAAATAAATTTCAGTACTAAATTTGAGGTGATTCCTACCCCAAGCTAATTTTCCATTAGTAACTAGAAAATCTTCTTGGGTGTGTGTGTGTGGGGGGGTGGGGGGACACTTTGTCTCTCCCTAAGGAAGAGTAGTCCTACGGTCCTCTCTGTCTTGTTTAAGGAAAATGCATCCACCTCTGTTCTGAGTGTGGCCTCTTCCTTTCTCAGAGACTGCTCCCCTCGTCATTTGCTCCCTCATATTTACCTCTTCCCATGGCTCTAATTCTTTACTTCTCAGCACCCATGGACCTCCTTCCGTCTGGCAGACAGAAATGAATTCATCCCTAGAGCCTACTCTAGTTACTCTTTGTGTTATGTCTTTCCTTTTACAGTCTAAATTTTTGAAAGATTTTTTTAAAGCTCCCATAAACTCAACTCACTGTAGCCTCACATAAGCTCCTTAACCTCCTGTAAACCTGAGAGTGGAGTTGAAGGTAGGTAAGAATTGGAGAGACTGAGAAACCAGGACACAGGAGAATGATCTGGAACTGTAGATCTGGAATTTGGTAGGCCAGAGAAACTGGTTAATTAAATGATTTCTGGACACATTCCAGAAAAGATATCGCTAGAGAGAGAACACATTGCAATGTTTAGAGATTTGGCAGTGAAACATTAAGGTCGAATTCAACAAAAGTGAAAACAGTAAAATTAGAACGTACCAGAAACTTTTTACAATGAAATGGTAAGTCTTTCAGAAGCATTCAGAAAGTGTTTTTGTTTTGTGTTTTAAAAAGACCATGGTGAGAACCTCTCTCCCCTGGACTGTCAGGGAGGCAGTGGATTAGAGTCACTTAATAAAACTCTTGGTATAACTTTAATTTTTCTCTCCTGTCTTTCCTTGGTACTTGTACACTTGAATTCTGCCTCCTTGGCCCTGGCCTGCCCCCCACCATCAAAAGCTCACAAGTTTGGCTCTGGTGCTTTACCACTTACTCCTTCTGTTGATGGTCTTTTCCAGCTCAGATGGAGTAGCGCTAGCTCACGTTCATTCCCATCTTGGCTTTGCACACCCAGGTCTTTGCGCTTCTGAATGCTGCCGCCTCCTTTTTCTGTTTTTCAGAGCTAACGGAGTAGAAGTAGTTTGGGGTTTGGAGTTAGATATAATTCTAGGCTTGCCATTGATTAACTATGTGACTTAGTCTTTCTAACTCTTGGTGTTCTAAACTATTAAGATGAGAACATTTAATATCTCCTAAGTTTCTGAGAACTGAGAATAATGTATAGGACAGTGGCAAATACTAACCGCTTAGTAAATATTATCTTTCTTTCCCTTGCCATCAGTTGATGTTATTTACTTATCAGGTTATACAAGGTTGCAAAGAGGAAGAGGCAAATAGATTATTAGGTTTATTTTTTACATGTACGAAAATCTGAAGACTTAAAAAAAATCTTTTTAATGTTTATTTGTATGAGAGTGACAGAGCACAAGGGGGGAGGGGCAGAGAGAGAAGGGAAGGCAAAGAATCTGAAGTGGGCTCCAAGTTGTCAACACAGAGCCCGACGTGGGGCTCAAATTCACGATCCATAAGATCATGACCTGAGTTGAAGCTGGACCCTTAACCAACTCAGCCACCCAGGCACCCTGAAAAGGTGAAGATTAAGTAGTAACACATAGGTTCTTTATGGATATGCTTTAGTTAGTTAAATTGAAGAAGAGAAAGATTATACTGTGAAGACTAAGGACAAATGGATTAAATTTCCCTTCTGATCGATTGTGGCCTTGCTGGTTATGTGTTTATAATAAGCCTGGCCGTATCATAAAGAGAACAGAAAAATTACTTACCTCTAGTAGATGAAGCAGGGTTTTTTTCCTTACAGAATTTAGGTGATTGTCCTTAAATAATGATAGACTTTGTTATTGTTGTTCATAGTATTTTTGTCAATATGAAATCCTGAAGGAACATGTTTCCCCCGGAGTAGATACCGTGTCTCCTGGAAGTAAATGCCTTTGGAATGAAAGAATATATGTATTCACTAACCGAATAAAAGGACATTGCTTAAAACTTTTCTTTTTTCCTTTTTAGGTGTTTGGCAACCAACTCATTCCTCCCAATGCACAAGTGAAGAAGGCCACGGTTTTTCTCAATCCTGCAGCTTGCAAAGGGTAGTTCAGTTTGTGATTTGTCACATCCTCTCTTCTTCTAAGGTGGGGCGGGGGAAATCACGGACTAGCCAAGCTAGTTGGATTGTGTGGAATTAGAGAAGTAGGTTCGGCACTAGCAGTAAGATGAATTTGTAATGGAGAAATAGCACTTAGTGAGCAGTGACTGTGATGCTGGCTGATGCTCAGCAAATTTGTCCAACTGCAGTTTAATAACAATCCCAGAATTCGTACTCTGAGTAAGTCTTCCCTGCGTGGGGACAGTCCCTGCTATTGGGATGTCAATGACCGGGCCTTCTCTGACACAGGATGCTCAATAATAGCTAAGAGCACTGTGGGCTTGTGAAGTCAGAAACGACCTTTCCAGGAGGAGGGAAGCTTGAGCTAGGTCTTGGAGGTGGGCAGAGTGAGAACACTCAGCCTTCCTGATGGAGGAGATGGCTCAGGGGCTGAGGCCTAGTGACAGGAATGACTACTTAGGTCCCTCCTGTGTCCCAGGACAGTCTGTGACCTGGTCTGGCTGGTGTGGAAGAGCTGTGTGAGGACTCTGTGGGCATTCAGGTGTGAGGAATCCTTGGGACTTGGGTTTATAATCACATGTTTGTGTCCATTGATCATAACAAGGGTCCTATGCTGGTGCAAGACGTTGAAGGTGGGGGAGGCTGTGTGTGCAAAATTACTAGGGCAAAGAGTCCGCGGAAATTCGCTGTGTTTTGTGTTCGTTTTTACTCTAGACTTGAAAACTGCTCTAAAACATAAAATCTGTAAATTAAAAAAAAAACACATAAGGGCAAAAAAGAAAATGCAGCTCTCATTCAGTTGGAAAGGTGAACTTAAAAAGACTTTGAAGACTTTTAGAACAAATCACTTAAAACTTAAAATTATTATTCTTTTTTAAAAGTTATTTATTTTGAGAGAAAGGGAGAGTGCATGTCTGAGGTGCAGAGAGAGAAAGGAAGAGAGAGAGAATCCCAAGCAGACATTGCACTGTTTGCACAGAGCCTGATGTGGGACTTGAACCCACAAACTGTTGAGATCATGACCTAAGCCGAAAATCAAGAGCAGAGTGCTTAACTGACTGGGCGCCCCTAAGATGTAAAATTATTCTTAAAATATAGTAAAGATTAAAAGGTTGTGTGTGTGTGTATGTTGGGGGGGATGATATTTTTTATTCTCCCTAATGACCAGAACAATTCTTTTTGTCTTTCTTGAGGATCAGAGAGACAGAGACAGCATTGAGCAGGAGAAAGAGAGGGAGACCCAGAATTTAAAGCAGCTCCAGGCTCTTCTGAGCTGTCAGCACAGAGCCCAACGTGGGGCTCGAGCCCACGAACCGCGAGATCATGACCTGAGCTGAAGTCGGATGTTTAACCGATTGAGCCACCCAGGCGCCCAGATTGTATAAGATCCAAGTCAAATGATATTAAGAACAACAGCAAGCTTCTAAGTATTCTTGTGTAAAACGCAGGGACTCTGAAATAAGTTTCTTGAGTAAGAAGTAATTTCTTGAGAATAGTGAGTATGGCTTTATAGATAGTCTAGCCTTATTTTTAATTCTGCAGTTGCAGACACTTACCTACGATTGTCTGAACTGACTCTCTGACTCTGCCTAATTCAATCCTGTTGGACTGGCTTTATCACAGCCACTTATCCTCCCCCATGGACACACCAATGCCTAGTGAGCATTCTTGTTTAATACCAGCACTAATTGCAGTGCCGGCAAGTGGACAAGTCCTAACACCACACCATCACAATACTGAGGTAAGTAAACAGTGGTGGCCTGTGGCAGAAGCTATCAGAGAACTCTGGGCTTTAGCGTTGGAACAACCAGACTTGTATATTCTTCGGTTCTTCGATATGGGAGTAACTTAACTTCAATCCTCAGTGTACTCATCTGTGCAATGGGAAGGTAATAGCTCATGCTTTATACAATTGCCATATAGAATAGGTGCCTTGGGATTAAATGAGATAATGCCTATAGTGTGTTCAGTGTTCTAGTTCCTGTAAGCACTGGATAAAAGGGGAGGATAAGCCAATGTGATTACTTTTGACTTGTTGGCGAGGTTCAAAACGTTCTTTACTTTGCTCTCCCACCCTTCTCAAAAGTGCTTGTACCTTCCCCTCTGCCTACTTTAGTATTACTATGGTAAGACCTATTCCTATAGAGAACTAGTAAGTTAGCACCTTTCTAATTCTGATGAAGACAAATATATGATCATTTGTTTAAGCTATGACCAGTTATTTTAAGTTCCTACTTAGAAGAGATAATTACATTTAAAAACGAATAAACTTTTTTTGAGCAGTTTTAAGTTCTGTGTACATTTTTACATGTAAAGGTATTGGCGTTTCTGAAGGCGGATTATTGTCTACGATTATACAATCTTTAAAATGGAGGCTAAAGGTGAATCTTTGTCTGCTTCTGGAGAGCCACCACTCGGAAGCTCTCCAGCATCTTTTTTTCCCTAAGCTTTCACTATTTAATTGCACTGTTTTTGTCCTCTTGGCTCTGCTCTGACACATCATTCACAATTCATCATGTAGCTATTTCACTATGTAGTACTGGTTTAAAACTACGTAGGTGCTGGGGTGCCTGGGTGGCTTAGTCCGTTAAGCGTCCGACTTTCGCTTGGGTCATGATCTCACGGTTCATGGGTTCGAGCCCCGCGTCGGGCTCTGTGCTGACAGCCAGCTCAGAGCCTGGAGCCTGTTTCAGTCTGTGACTCCCTCTCTCTCTGACCCTCCCCTGCTCACGCTGTCTGTCTCTCTCTCTCTCTCTCCTAGAAATCAATCAATCAATCAATCAATCTACGTAGGTGCTTTAAGAAATAAGATAACTGTGTGTTTAGCATTAATAAATAGTACATTAAGAAGTAATTGTTTTTTTGGTGTGTATGTGAACCTGGAAATTGCTGTAGGTATATAAAGTTTTTCTCTAGCTCTGGTGCTGTCTCACCTTTAATTATGTAATAAATAATTCATTTCTTTCTGGTAACACTTGTTTTTCAATCTTTCATATCGAACATCAGAAGGGGGAAAAATCACTTTCATTTTAGCAATTGTCTGTAGCCATGGTATCACATAAAGGTGTGAATAAAAGCCCAAATGTTCAAATCCTATTTCTTCAACTTGGAGCTTATGGATTTGTTGTAAATGATTAATATAGCAGATTAAGACTGGTCCAGAGTTTTGCCTCTCAGATAGAGCTGATGCCCTTCCAGCTCATCTTTTCTTACCAATCTAGTAATGAAAACAACCCTGGAAGGAGAAACCTTTGTAGTATCACTGGCTCAGCCCTTTGCTACTGGGTGAAGCCCCAGAAACGAGGCGTGGAAAGGGGAGGCTTTCATTGAGCCTTCCCTGTTTGTTCTAAGAAGCATTCAGGGCCCTACGAGGGGCAGGGGCGTTTGTGTGATTTGCTTCTAACGTGCTCATGTAGGTCCTGAATTGGAGATGTTTTTTTGAATGGTTCTTGTGAAAATTTGTCCAAGCTTCTCCATTTCTATTTTAATTCAGAATAAGGCATGTTATGTGTCTCTCTCTGCCCTTTGGTGCTTATTTCTTTTTATGGAATGTTGGATTTGGTGTGTGCATCACTATACACGCGGCTCATGAGCTACCCCGCATCTCTTCCTAGCATAAAATACTTGTGAGAAAGTCAAAGCACGCATCACTGGTTTCAAAAAATAATCTTCGAAAAAGGACTGAGTAAATGTGGATGTGAAAGTGAGATGCTTGGCATTTTGAAAGTTCTAGCTTTTGTTTTTCTTCGATGCGATAGTTGAAAATATGTGGGCAAAAAACAGGTTGACTGATTGGTATGCTTCACATTTATTCTACTCTGAGACTGTGCTCCTGGGGACCCTTTGCAGCTTGTGCATTCCTTGATTTCCTGGGCTGTGTTTCTGACTCCTCCCCTGCACTGGATGAGAGTCACTATCAAGATGATGAGTGTGATGCTCTTAAAACACAGACATTCTTCAAAGGACTCTGTTTCTATTCTTAGATCACCTCACAATTGTCATTTCATTTTCCACAGAGTTTACATGTCTGCATTGGGGGCAGGTTTATTTATTCATGCATCAGTGTGTTAATTTATCAGACACTTATAAATGTCTTCTGAAAGTGCCAGGTATAACCCCAGAGGCCGGGGGATGCAAGGATTATAAGATTTGGGGTCTGTTTTTGGAAGGCATCCAGTCTTGTCCCAAAGACTGTCTTACCAGATCACTGATCGTCCTGCAATATGAAAATTCCCAACAGAGGTGTGTACAGAGTGACCGTGTAAAGAGAAGAATGTGACTGTGCCTGGGAGCTTCAGATGAGCTGTTAATTATCCTAAAGTTGCATTCATCTCAAACTTGCCCTTTCGTAGCAGAAATTCTGCCTTCATTGAAAAGAATTTTGCTCCTTCTCCAGGGATTTTATTGCAGGTTTGAAACTCAAGAAATGGAGATACTTTTAGTATTTGAAATTGTTAAAAATGGTGTATTTCTCCATCAAAGATTGTGTCCACTGAGTTAGAACTAATCAGTATTCTGTGGGGTTCAGTTTATTCCTTCGGGCCTTACAAAAAATGTTAAATACACTCTCCTCTTTCTACTACTGGAATATAGAGAAGTTCCATGAGGACTTATTACATCATACTTAAGCTCTAGTTGTTTTTGTCTTTGTTGTGTTGTATCCATAGCCCCTATACCTGTGTCTAGCACATAGTAGGTCCTCAGTAAACACTTGCTGAATGAATCAAACATTGTTTCCTGAGTGGAGCCATATGCAGTGTACATTCTTCCTCTGGAGGAACTAGACTCTGAACGGCAAGCATCCCAGATGGGCAAGCGCTGATTGTATTAGAAGGTAAACTCCCGGAGGCCCCAGAGTGGTAGCAGCTACGTTTCTATCTGTAGACCCTCATCACTCGCTGTTCGACTTCCTGTGTTTGCAAAAATGAAGGAAACCTGTTTTTCTTAGCCTGCTGCTTTTTCTACTCCAGCAAAGATGGTTGGGCATTTTGTCATCTCTTGAGAACTCGTGTTAAAATTTTTGTATTTTTTCCTTTGTCTACAGCAAAGCAAGGACTCTATTTGAGAAAAATGCTGCCCCAATTTTACACTTATCTGGCATGGATGTGACAGTCGTCAAGGTAAGAACGCTCCAGAGTATTGATTTTATCCGAGCTGCTGCTGCTTGTAACTTACCTTCTCCTCTTGACTCCAAGCAGAAATCACTTAACACACAAGAAGCTGGGAACAGAGGAATAGACGTTGTGTCTTTGTTCTGATCATTAATAAAAGTGGTTTTATTTTTATTTTTTTCAAAGGATTGCCAGCTTTTCATTTTCAGAATAAGATTAGATGGAGGCATGAACTTGATTCCTTTCATCTGAAAGATAAGATGTGGAATTACTGTCTCTTAGAAGATGAAAGTAGTCATAGCTGTAAGAATTCTTTTCCTGAAAATAGACTTTCCACTTTGAGTATTTAATTACTTGGTAATTCCAAAGACAGGTAAACGTTTTCTCTCTGGTGAGGAATTTTAAATGGTAAAGCTTTAGAATTTGCAATATTTGGCTAAGAAAAAAAGGGGACAAAATAAGTTAGAAGGATGTGCTATACAGAAGATGCTCCAAGACTCCACTCAAAGGCCCAAGACTTTGAAGTGGTAGGTGTGTGGTGGGTACTGAGGTGTGTGCATTTGGTGAAAATCACTCTTGTCGTGTATAAGTCTATGGTTTATTTTTAATATTACACTTCCATGAATACAGAGATTAAAAAGTAATTTAGTCCAATTTACCATGAAATGTTGAACTGTCATGTCCAACTGATCTGAGATGTGGTTTTCTTTCTTTTTTTTTTTTTTAAATGTTTTATTTATTTCTAAGAGAGAGAGGCAGCGTGAGCAGGGGAGGGTCAGAGAGAGAGGGAGTCACAGACTCTGAAACAGACTCCAGGCTCTGGGCTGGCAGTCAGCACAGAGCCCGACGCGGGGCTCGAACCCACGAACCGTGAGATCATGACCTAAGCGAAAGTCGGACGCTTAACTGACTAAGCCGCCCAGGCGCCTCCCGAGATGCGGTTTTCTAGTTGTCTACCTCCAGGGATGGGAGAAAGGGGAGAGCATTAACGTCTATTTGAGTGCTTGTAATGCACGTTTCAGGCTCCACGTATGAGAGATCCTAGAATTGTTATGTAGGACTGATATTTCTTCCTTGAATATTTGGTTGAACTCAAATAAAACCATCTGGACCTGGACCTTTCTCTGAGGGGAGGTTGTTTTGTATGGTTCTAACAAGTAGTCAGATTCTGTTCTTGAATTAATTTTGGTAAGGCACAATTTTCAAGGAATTTGTTCATTGCATTGAAGTTTTCAAATTAACTGATATCAAGTTATTCATAATTTCCTCCTTTTGACTTTAAAGTTTCTGTAATATTTTTAATATCTCATTTTAATTCTTCATATTGTTTGTGTCCCCTTTTTGTCCCCTCTCAATAGTCTTGTGAGAGGTAGGTCAATTTAATCCTCACCAAGAATCAGTTTTTGGCTCGTTGATCCTCTCATTTATACTTGTTTAATTAGTTTCTAGTCTGCCTTTATTCTTTCCTTTATTCTGTTTATTGTAGGTTTTTCCCATTCTGTTCTGACATTTCAGTTGGATGCTTATTTATTTTTTACCCTTTTTTCTACTTATTTATTTTATTCTTTCCTTTATTCTACTTATTTTAGGTTTTTCCCATTCTGTTCTGACATTTCAGTTGGATGCTTATTTTTTACCCTTTTTCATTGTATTTAAAGCTATAAATTTCACTCTACTTCTTCAACTGCATCTTCTAAGTTATGATACATAATAGTTTCATTAACATTCATTAAAAAATATTTTCTAATTTCCATCATGATGGAAATTGAGTTCTTTAGACCAGTTTTTAAATTTCCAAATAAAAAGTTTTTCTAGTTCTTTTTTTTCTAGTTAACTTTTTGTTAATGGTTTCTTATTTAGTTGCATCATGGTCAATGAATGTAGTCTATACAATTCCAGCATTTGGAACTTCATGGAGTCTTGTTTTATGGCTTAGCATGTGTTTTGTTTTCATAAATGTTCCCTGTAGGAGTATAAAGAGTATCAGTCATCGGATACATGTTCTGCATGTGTGCAGTGACTTAAGTCTCTTCACTGTGTGGTTCTCTGTGTCCTTACTGAATTTTTTTTTCTTCTGCTTTAACTATAGAGAGAGGGGGTGTTAGAAACCTCCCACTGTTAATACAGATTTTTCTATGCAGTCTTGTTCATTTTTGATATGTTGAGATGATGTCACTAGATGCTCTCCAGTGTCATCGCCTCATTTGTCTTGCACTTTGACCCTGTCTGGAGCGATTCTCTTGAGCACCAGTCTCTACTCTGCCACAGTCTGTCTTTTCTAGTATGATTAGTGACCCTAGCTTACTTTGGCTGGTTTTTGCTTGGTGTAATATTTTTTATCCCTTTACTTTCAGACTTCTTGTATCTTTATATTTTAGATATACTGCTGGTAAAGCCTCGAAACAGGATATTTTAAGGATCCAACTTTTTTTATTTGTTTGTTTTTTTGGTCTTTTAACTGGACCATTCAATCCGTTAACATTTATTGTAATTACTGTCCTATTTCTTTCTACACTAGATATGTAGTGCTATGTAAGAAACTACCTTGATATCTGCTTCTCTGCTTCCAATTCCTTTGGTCAGCAGTCTGTTCAGAGCTGCCTTGTGCTGGTCTCATTGGGCACTTCCGTGGCCTGGCTGAGGAAGGATGGCCTAAGATGGCCTGACTCCCATATCTGTGGGTCGGTCCTGCTGCTGTCTGGTTCATGTGGGCTCCAGCACACATACTTCTCTGAAGTAAATTACAGACATCATGTCATTTTAATCCCTAGATACTTCGGTATGCACTTAAAAAAAAAAAATCAGACTACTTTTCTATGTAACTGCAGTGTCTTTATTATATCCAACAAAAGTAACAGTTCTTGGGGCGCCTGGGTGGCTCAGTCGGTTAAGCGTCCGACTTCAGCTCAGGTCATGATCTCATGGTTCATGGGTTCGAGCCCCGCATCGGGCTCTGTGCTGACAGGCAGCTCAGAGCCTGGAGACTGCTTCAGATTCTGTGTCTCCTTCTCTGTCTGACCCTGCCCTGTTCATGCTCGCTCTCGCTCTCTCTCTCAGAAATAAATAAAAAACATAAAAAAAAATTAACTGTTCTCTAATATTATGCTACCTCTTGTCTTGATTCACTTTTCTTTATTTAATATCATTAGGCCGCTTTTTTTTTTTTTTTTTAATCCTTCCTTTGTTGGTGCATTTGGAATTTTCATCTTCACACCAGAGCCTCAAGTATGTTCTACTTATAAATGTAATCTTTTAAATAACTGTCTATTAAATCAGTCAAAATATTTTTGAATTTTGGTTCATTCATGTACTTATTCATATTTATTAATTTTTTTTTTTTTTTTTACAAGTGATCTAAGTCCTGGTCTAGGTATTGGGGATACAGGCTGGACAAAATAAACTTTCCACGTCTGTTCCCAAAGAGCTTCAAAGTGGGAAAGGGAGGGATCAGATAAGAAATAGATACATAAACGTATGGTTTGTCAGCTGGCGAGGAGTGCCAAGAAGAAATACCAAGCAGAGTAAGAGGACCAGGAGGAATTGGGAGTGTTAGTTTAGTTCAGAAGGCCAAGGGAGACTGGTTTGAGAAGAGGACCTTGCAACAGAGACTTGAAGGATGGGTAAGTCCTGCAGATTCAGGACGGAAGGAATCTGGGCCAAGGATGTTGAAGGACTCTGAAGCAGGGGTGTTCTTGGCATGTTTGAGGAATCGTACGGAGGCCATTGTCAGTTTTGGAAAAAATGGTCATGTACATATTTAATAAATTACTTTCACCTCTATTGTTGATGGTGTGTGTTTAACTATAAAGCCAGCCACTTCATTTTTAATAAATGAATAATAAAAGTGGGATAATTCATCATAAAATTAATGGTGCTAGTTTAGGGGTTGCTTCTTTCCTCTGTGTTAACTGTGCTCAGCTACTTTGCCTGTTACTGTGTCTTGTTATGTGTCAATAGGAAGGGGCGTTTCCTATTTTAGTCTTAGTTGCACTATGTGTTTTAAACTTTAATGTTTGGCTTTAGAGGTAGTGGCTTAGATGGTTCATTGAAGTCTGCCTAGGTCTCTGATAGGAAATCCTCTCAGTAAAGATGGTGAGGCTTAGGCCTGTTGTGTAACTACTCTGAATCACACGTGTCCATCTTTAGTGTGTAGTCCTTGTAAAACCTAACCTCTCATTTAAGTACAGCACAGGCGATGGACAGTTACCTTGCTAGTTCAGTTGTTTTATATACCGCTTTACAACAGTACAGGGGGAAGCTATTATTACCATCCCCCAACCCACATAATCTCATTGATCAGGAAAATTAAGGTCGTGAGAGTTTAAGGGCCCTCAGCTAAAAAGTAGGAGAGTTGGCATTTAATCTGGGTCTCCTGGGCACCCACATCTGTGTTCTTCTCGTTACATCTGTTACTCTATAGTTGCATATGCACTTGAATTCCTGCTTTTGGGTGAAAGGCACGGGGTAAATAGTGTAATTGAATCTGCACTGGACCGGAAAGGAGTCTTTGACTAGCTAACTGTATAACCAGAGACAGATGACTGGGTTTGAGATATAATATACATATAATTTTTTAAAACTTTTTTAAAATGTTTATTTTTGAGAGAGAGAGAGAAAGAGAGAGAGAGAGCGCAACCGGGGGATGGGCAGAGAGGGAGACACAGAATCCAAAATGAGCTCCAAGCTCTGCGCTGTTAGCACAGAGCCCACCACCAGGCTCCAACTCATGAACCGAGAGATCATGACCTGAGCCGAAGTTTGATGCTCAACCGACTGAGCCACCCGAGTTTTATGTTTAAAAGAAGGTTAAAGATGGTTTCTGAGGTCCCTTCCAACTCTAAACAGTTCAAAACTATATAATTGCTTTGATAGCTACTTAGTTTCTCAGGTCTATCAATTAAGTCGAATTTGAGAAAAGACTTGTATAAACCTTTGAATATCCCAGACGTTTACATCTTTGATCTTAGGGCCCTAGGGTGATACATTTACCAAAGACTTCTCTTGTATTTCAGACCGATTATGAGGGCCAAGCCAAGAAACTTCTGGAACTGTTGGAAAACACAGACGTGATCATTGTTGCAGGCGGGGATGGGACACTGCAGGAGGTAGGCTGTTGTTCTGTTGGAAACGGTTTTGACGGGGAGGAAGATGGAAGCTAGATCTTCAAGCAATGACATAAAGTGGTTACAACTTAAGGAAATTATTTCTCTTTATTTTTTTTTAGAATTGTTCCTCCCTGAAGCAGGCATAATAGCATTACGTTTTTCTCCTGTGCTTTGATTTCCTTGCTTTGTGTAAACTTTATACCCAGCATATAGAAGGATATTTATTTTATCAAACTGAAGTTGGATAAAAGTGAATAAGGGGAAGAAATGGTGGTGAGCACGATGAGATTTTTATATGTTGGAGACTCTCATGGAGTATCCCTGTTAGGGAGTTAGGGAATCAGTTTTAATTATGAAGAACGTTATTCTTATAAACTTAAAGATCTTCTTTTGGGAAAAAAAAATGCATTTGTCCTCAGATCATTTCCATCACATGGAATGTTATCTCCTAATGGTACGGTTAGAGGCAGGGGTCTGCGTGTTCAGGTCTATGTATCTGCCTCTCTTTTAAAATTTCATGTCCTTAATGCTTACTTTGGTCCAATAAGGACAGGAAGTACATTGCCCTTGAAGTGTTCTTTTGGGGAGCAGGAGACCGGAGTCTTCATTTTGTATTGGAAACCCTGAGGAGCCAGGACGGGTGCCCCTCCTCCTCCTCAGCGTTTCCATCCTACGGGCCGTAATTCACATCTGTGCCTCGTTCCTGATCGCCTTTTGCCTCCATTTGCTGAGGGATCTGGAGCTAATAGCAGACAGAGCAGTGTCCTATGTTTGACTTAGCAATTATGTGAGCCTTAGTAAGCTTCTTTTAGAAAGGCTGCGCTAATGATCTTGTAATTGTTTTTATGGCTTTTTAATGAAGTGTGAAGAATACTGATAGCATGCCAACGCAGAATGAAACAGACCTCAGACAGCCCCCATTTAATCCTGAAATTCATGAGGCAGGAGGGAAGGGGGGAGATTGGCATTTGCCTTTACTTTACAAAATGTTTTTAAGCAATATGCCACATCGCGTATTTGGTATCATTTCAGTTATATAAAAATGTGCACTGAATAAAAAGATTGGAGGGAAATATGCCAAAATGTGAATAACTGATTAATGATGCTTGTCCCACATGGTGGGGTTTTGAGAAAGAATTTTCTTCAGGTATTTTTCACTACTTTTATAAGACCTGTGTATTACAGTTTAAAAATAAAAAAAAAAAACATGATGTACAAATTCAAATTAAAAATAGCTTTTTTAAAAGTGGGGTTGCTGTTCCCCTTGTCTTCATTTTCATCGATAAGAAGCATTAATCGAACAGAGACTTCCCTGCGTGTAGCAAAGTGTTGTTTTTTCCTATATGTGCCCTTCAGTACAGCCGAGGCTCTTCTGTAAGACTGATGTGTGCCTCACACTTGTATCCATTGTACAGAGCTTAAAACAAGTTTGCTAATATAATGGGGACGTTTCATAATTATTTTGTCTTAGCCTTTATTGGACTATTGATCTTAGGTCAAGAACAAAATCTAATTTAGCTCTGATCCCTTTGCAGAGCACTGTGTGTTTGATGGGCTAGTACGTCTTTTCACCTAGTTTCTAGGAAGAAAACAAGTTTGTGATCCATGAAAATCGAATCCAGTTCTTGTATGATAAGGGGAATGCACGTTGTTTATAATAATTTTTTAACGTTTGTAGGTAATTACTGGAGTTCTCCGAAGAGCAGATGAGGTGAGCTTTAAGAAAGAGTAATTGTATTTTAATTTCTGCATTTCTGTTCTTCCCCCCCCCCCGCTTTTTTTTTTTTTTTTTTTTACCATTTTATATTTTAAGGTGCTTCCTTGGGTTTTAGTAAATAAAATGCTGCTGCCTGTGTCCTGTAACACCTTTATTAATCTGTGGCAGACGTCTCTGCTGTAGTATTTCAGAGTACCCAATAGCTTTTTATTGGAAAAGCTATTGTTGGAAATATAAAATTTTCCCACAGAAATTTTTCTTCAGAGAATTCCTTCATAAATGTGGTATATTCATATACTGGAAGCCATGTAGCAGTAAAAATGAATTAGATCTATAAGTATTTATAGATCTGTCTGTGTATACACATATATCTGTGTGTATATGTATAATTAAATCTAAAAAATATTGAATAAAAAAGGCAGGTTGCCAAAGTATTTCAGGCATTTCTACTAAGTTTTGAAATTCAGAAAATACTACATAGTTTAATGGTTGCCTAAATATGTTGTGAAAGAATAACAGTGTGGCTGGAATGGAATCCCAGCCACAGCAGGATAATGGTTGCCTCTCAGAAGGGAGAGAGGGAATGGGATGAAGGACTTCTCCTTGAATGTGCTTATTCTCTTCGCCTTCTTTATACTGGAGATCGTTTATAAAGCATTATCATTAGTTACTGTACAAAGGCTAGATATTTTTAGTTGAATTTTATCCACAACTTCTTCAAATACTGTGACAACATAATATAATTTCTGTCACCACGGCATATTTATCTAATATCTTTAAGACCCTCATTTTCATAACCAGATTTCTTTGAACCAATTGCCGTTAATGAGTACTGAAATATTTCTCCAGGTTCAGTACGGTTTTCAAGGACTTCCTCATTTTAGAAACTGCTCACTTAATATTATCCGACTGCTGGTCTAGGAAAGGGAGAGACAGGGTGGTGGACTTAGGGTCAGTAAATTGTCATTGTGGACACGTCTGTCTGTGTCTCTCTGTTCAGCTTGATTTTTTTTTTTTGACCATAACCATAAAACTTTCCTCTTCTTTTTTCCCCCCAGGCTTCCTTCAGTAAAATTCCCATTGGATTTATCCCACTGGGACAGACCAGTAGTTTGAGTCATACTCTCTTTGCCGAAAGTGGAAACAAAGTCCAGTAGGTTGTCATTGTGGGGTGGTAGCGTTTGTGGGTGAGCGAGCCTGGGAATGGACTGTTCACATGTGGGTGATAAGAATTCATTAGTTTTGTTCCTAGCTTCGATAGTCTGAAACTTCAAATCATTAAGAGCAGGACCTTGATCAAATTTCAGCCATTCCGTTCACTGGGAAATTTCCTCTTTGGGTTCTGGGACCCTGGTGATCTGATATCAAGCGCCCAGGTCAGGTGTGGAGATGAATACTGAGGTCCCTTTGCCAGTTTTGAAGATTGCATCCCTGATCTGAACCATCTTTATGCCTTTATGTTGTAACATTCTCTAGTGAAGACAGGTTTGCATTGATCATTTGTTTGCTTTAAAAATAGATGATAACAAATAGCAAGTCCCTTGTGAAAACTGAACTGGAAGCTGTGGCTTCATTATTTTGATAATAGAAGTAGCTACAACAGTTAAATAATAGTCACATCCTTTGGTGAAATGCCTAGAGTCGAAGGAAGTGTGGATAAAGCAGCCGGGGAAGCAGCATCTAAGTGAAATTGCTACGAATCTAACTGACTTCAGGAGTTGGGCAGATTGTTGCTCTTTTCTCTAGAAGGCCTTATGTAAACAAATCTGTAGTCCTTCAAGGAAATGGGAATTTTAAATCGGAGTCCTGGCTTTGAACAGCAGGAAATAGTTTAAGTGAGAAAATCCTTTGCAGGCTCTCCTTGTCAGTTGCTTGATCTTTAATGTGAGCTTTGTGACACAGTTGGGGGAGATCAGTAAATAAATACTTGTTGACTGTGTTAACTAAAATCTTCTTGTGACACCTTCTAGAAACATATATAACCTTCTAGAAACATAATCATAGTACTCAGGTGATTTACTGTTTGGGTTTTTTTTTGTTGTTTTTTTTTGCTTTTGGGATTTTTATTAAATTGTTTTCTGTGGGTTTATTTTTGCTGTTATAATTTTAGGAGTTATTTTATATCTTCTTCACCAAGTCTTTGCACGCTCTCTTGCCCTGTCTCTCCACACACACACACACACACACACACACACATTTACATACATATATATGTACACACACATATATACATATATATTGTAAAAGCCTTGGTCCCAATGTCAAACACGAGGCATAAACATAGACCTATATCAGGCCTCCATCTAACATCTCCTGCCTCAAGCCTTAATCTAATGGGGACGTCTAGTTCATTAGTCATCCTGGAGCCCAACATGGCATTTTAGTTTGCCAGACTTGTTATTCCCAGTTTAGAATTTCTTAGGGGCAGTATATAAAACAAAAAATGAATTATTCAAACATTTTTCTTATCGGAGATAAATTCTATGTGGTTTGGTCCTCGGTTACTTTAGAGAGTTTTCCGTTTTGCATCAATACAGATTATTTGAATTGCTTAGCCAACGTGCCCAAATATGTCAGTGATCGAGAGGGAAACCCCGTTCCTTGGAGAACACCTTGCCTATCCAAAAAGCCAGCTTCCGCGCGTTGTGGCTGCCCTCAAGGTCTTAGTTTCTTGAAGGTCTTCAGTTTTGGGGGAGCTAATTTTCCCTGTGGTTAAACTAATGTTGCTGCTTCTATTTATAACTTAAAGATTTATAAAACTTATAAGCATGCCCAAGGGCTCTTAGGTAATTAAGTAAATCTGCCCTGGGTTCAGGATTTCGTAGACCTCTCAACATGACAGATGCCTAAGGCCATTTAAGAGAACAAGGCTTTGCTTTTTGGATTGCCGTCAAGATGTGTTGTACCACGGTTTTACTACAGGAGGAAAAGGAGTCTTGCCTTTCGAATATTGTAGGTAAATAATCCTAAAAAATAGCTGTTCCATGCTACAGTGCTGCTTTATTTAGAACTTTCACTTACTGCCAGAGAATGATAAATCTGGGTTGTATTTTAGCTGTTCTCTGCCACGTAATTTTGGAAAAAAAATTAAAAATAAAAGGCTTTTTCATGTGGCACCTGGGTGGTCAGTTGGTTAAACATCTGACTCAATCTCAGCTCAAGTCTTGATCTCATGGTCATGAGTTCAAGCCCTGCACTGGGCTCGGTGCTGAGTGTTGAGCCTACTTAAAAAAAAAAAAAAAAAAAAAAAAAGGATTTTTCAGCTGCAACTTTTTAAAAACATTTTTTATTTTTGAGAGAGAAATAGAGACAGTGTGAACAAGGGAGGGTCAGAGAGAGAGGGAGACACAGAATCTGAAACAGGTTCCAGGCGTTGAGCTAGCTGTCAGCACAGAGCCTGATGCGGGGCTCGAACCCATGAACCGCAAGATCATGAGCTGAGCTGAAGTCAGACGCTCAACCGACTGAGCCGCTCAGGTGCCCCTAAAAGAAAATTTTTTTAGTGTTTGTTTATTTTTGAGAGAGAGAGTGCACGAGAGAGAGAGAGAGAGCTGGGGACGAATATGGAGAGAGGGAAACACAGAATCTGAAGCAGGGTCCAGACTCTGAGCTGTCAGCACAGAGGCTGCAATGGGGCCTGAACTCTCAAACCACAAGATCATGACTTGAGCCGAAGTTGGCCACTCAACTGATTGAGCCACCCAGGCACCCCAGGAAAAACTTTTATTTTCAAAGGAAAGAACATTTTACTATGGAAAGGTGCATTTTCCTGCCAGTACTGTACAGAGCAGAAGAGATTAGAAGGAGCTGTATTAGGAGAGAAACTACACTTTTTTGAATGGAGATTATAGTAATTTCTAAATGTCTCCTTTTTTATAGTTGTACTTAAATGCTAGACACATTAAATCTTTTACTTTATAAATTACTATATTTTTCTAAAATACAACAAAAGGTAATAGAATACTAACATTGCTAAGCCTTTACAAAAAACATGAAACACTTAGGGATAAATCCAACAAAATATGTGTAAGATGTATATGCTGAAAACTGCAAAACCTTAAAGAGAAATCAGGAAGACATAAATAAATGGAGAGACATGTGTTCATGGACATCAAGACTCGCTATTTAGATGTTTGTTTTCCAAATTGATCTCTATTCAGAAGATTTTTTTTAATAGAAATTGACTTGTAGATCCTAAAATTTATATGGAAAAACAAGGAACTAGAACACCCAGAATAACTTTGAAAAGGAATTACCAAGTTTGAGGACTTACCCTATCTAATTCCAAGACTAACGTTCTAAGAGTCCAAGACTAACTCAACAGTTAGTGCTGAAACAGTGAGCTAACCACATGCAAAAGATGAAGCATAACCCATGCCTCATATGTAAAAATTAACATGATCATTGATTATATATGTAAAGTCTAAAACTGTAACATTTCTAGAGGAAAATCTTGGTGACCTTGGTTAGGCAATGATTTCTTAGATAGGACGCAAAAAGTAGAAACCAAAAAAAAAAAGGGATAAATTGGGCTTCAGTAAAATTTAAAACCTCGATCCTTTGAAAAGCATTGTTAAGTAAATGAAAAATCAAGCCATAGATTGGGGGGAAAAATTTTGCAAGACACCTAACTGGCAAAGGACAAATATCCAGAGTATACAAATAATTCTCACAATTCAGTAATAAGAAAACAGATTCCCTTATAGAAAGAGGGGCAAAACATTTGAACAGGCACTTCACCAAGACATAGATGGCATTCATCATTAGGAAAGTGCAAGTTAAATCCACTGTGAGACGCATCGGTTAGAATGGCTTAAACAAGCCACATAGAAACCTGACCTCATCAAGTGCTGCTACATACAAGAGGTAACTGAAACTCTCACGTTGCTGCTGGAAATGCAAAGTGGTGTAGCCACTATGGAAAACAGTTTGGCATTTGCTTATAATATTAAACCTGTGAGCCGTAATGATAGGTGTTTACCCAAAAGAAATGAAGACATCTGTCAATACAAAAACCTATAGGGGGATGTTTATAGTCACTTCATTTGTAACTGCCCAAAACTGGGAATGGTGCCAGTGTCCATCAATTGGTGAATGGATAATCTGTGTACTTTCCATACAATGGAATGCAACTCTGCAATAAAAAGAAACCGTCTTTAAGTCCATCCAGCAGCATGAGTCTCCTACTCATCCTAGGAGTTTTTAAAAGCTGGTGAAAAGTCTTCACACCTCTTATTTCAATTTATAGGACATTCTGGAAAACAGAAAGAAGCCAGTAGTTGCCAGGAGCAGATGGTGGGGTGAGTGGGTTGGCCACAAAGGGCCATGAAGGAACTTTCTAAGATGCTGTAAATGTTCTAGATCTCAGTAATGGTGATGATCATATGACTGAAGGCATCTGTCAAAATTTGTAGAACAGTATACCTAAAAGGGTGAAGTTTGCAACCTATAAATTATCTCAGTAAATCTAACTTCAAAAAAGAAGTTAAAATATCAAACTAATTCTTTTAAACTTCGATAATTCTACTTGTGTGAATAAATACTTGGGAGGAGCTGTTAGTCGCTTCTCAGTATGGTTGACATTGACCCGGACCTTCCTTAGCAACTCTTTCTCATCGTTCATTCTGATTATCTACTGACCTTTGTACTCCACCCTTGCAGTTCATTCGTTTGGGACAATTTGAGTATTAGTAAGGTTAATAACTATAATGTATTGAAACATATGAGATATATTTAAAGCTATTTGAGTTCATAATGATACTAGGAAATAAAAATGAAAAACTTACTGGTCCTTTTTAGAGGATACTAAGGATATCAACTTATTTTGAAAATTGGTAAAGTTAAAAAAAAATTATTGATTTTTCTCATGGCCTCTATTTTATGGTACCCAAATTGTTGATGAGGGAAAGTTTCTCTTTGTGGACCAGATCATAAATTAGAAGGAATAATAGAATTAAAAGGTCACCATTTTGCTACTCTCTGTTAACTAATCTAGCTATTGATTATCAATAGTTGCTAATATCACACAAAAAAGAGGCAAACAGATTTCATGTACTTACTGATAGAAGTATATACCACTACCTTGGGAGTATTTTTGCCAAAAACTCCGAGCTCAATGAGAGATTTTTAGGAAATGCAAGGAATGGGGACACATTAGTTAGTATCATGGGAATGCAATCAGTAAAATCCAGATCTTTAGCAACACAATAAGACAACCCATTTCTATAACAAATGGGGAAAAGGAGAGGGAGGCCATCGATGAGAAAAGACTTATTAAGCCAATTGCAATGTATAGGTCTTATTTATTAGATCCAGATTTAAAGAAAGAAACTGAAGAGAATCTGAGTTAATTGGGGGAATTTTGACATTGACTATATGTATGTCAATATAAGGGCATTATTTAAGTGTTTTAGATATAATAGCATTTTTTGTTTTTTTAAAAAGAATCTTTTTATCTTTTAGAGATACATAAAGAAATATGTGTGGATAAAGTGTTAAGATATCTGGGGTTTGCTCTGATACAGATGGGGAGAAGTGGGTATACAAGGAAACAGGATTGGCTGTGCATTGATAATTGTTGAGGCCAGACAAGGAATACATTGGGATTCATGATACTCTTCTTTGTACTTTTTTTTTATATGCTTGGAATTTTATAGAATAAAATCATTCATCTAATATTGATTGCCTATTATATATCATGCTCTATGCTACGTGTTAGGTTTAATATTGGTAGTAATAGATGTAAATTATCACTAACCCTGTGGAACTTTCAGTTTCCAGGAGGAGGGAGATGATAAAGATGTAAATAAAAAATATGTATTATAAATTGTGATCTATTGTGAAAGAAAATGAACACGGGTCAGTGATAGAGAATGATAGGGAAGGGCCTATAGGCTGGTTAGGGTAAATGGTGACATTTCAGCCAAGATCTGAAGGGTGAGACTAGTGAGTGATACAGAGAGAGAGTGAGTGAGTGCCCGGAGGGCTGGACTGGCTGGACTAGGAAAGTATTTAATGTGAATTTCCTTGTTCTTTCTGCTGCAAGACCAAATATCTTCTTGTGTGGCCACCTGTTGATTTAGTATTTCTTTTGCTGACTGTCTTTTGTATATTAATGTGTGTCTGACCTGGGATCTAATTAGAATATGAACCTAGAGCTGCTTCGAAGCCTGGCATAGTTTCACCTGCCCTGAATGGTTGCTGATAGTACAGGCCTTTTTTACCTATAGACTTTTCAGCTGACAATCAGAATGTAGATAGGGACAATGTTGTGTCCTTCAACAAAAGAATCAGCAATTAAAATTACATCCTTGTAATCCTGGAAAGTCAGAGGAATAGGTCTTGGGTTCTGGATTATATTTTGCTCAGATAACTCCAAATCCTGTCCTTTAGTTAGCCTTTGGGTTAATAGAGTAAAAGGAAATAATGTTTTTTTTTTTTTTTTCAAGAGCTTGAGTTTCTTAGAATGAAAGATGCTGTTAATATTAAGTATCATATTTTCCAGTGATAAAAGTCAGACACATGGTAGAGAGTCAATAAATGTGAAATAAACAAATGATTGGTGCCTTGTATAAGCTTCTCTTTGCCGAAGCCTTTTCTTTTGAGGCTGTATCAGAGCTTTTCACTATGTTTGTATCAGTAATTCTTTTATATTCATTTGTTCTGCTATCCTGCAATATTTTGAAGGAATTTGTCTTTTCCCCCGACCTGTTAGTACTCTGGACAGGAGTGTGTGTGTGTGTGTGTGTGTGTGTACATGTACATGTGTGGTGGGGGACGTGCTGCTTGTTTTCCACATGTGATCATTTCCTTCCTTTGTCTTTTAGACATATTACAGATGCTACACTTGCCATTGTGAAAGGAGAGACCATTCCACTTGATGTCTTGCAGATCAAGGTAAAGTCTTTTTTTTTCCCCGAGAGTTTTACAAAGTAGTGCACACATACATGTTAAGCTAATAAGCTGTAGCAGTTCAAATGAGGTTACAACAAAAACAATATAGTTTTCTGTCCCAAACGTAACTGCCAGAGAAAAATAACTTTCCTGTTTGTTCTTGTTGTTATCACTAGTTAACATGCTCATGACACTACTTTTTTAAATTGTGGTAAAAAACCCACAAAACAGGGGCGCCTGAGTGGCTCAGTTGGTTAAGTATCCGACTTTGGCTTGGGTCTTGGTCTTGCAGTTCGTGGGTTCGAGCCCTGCATTGGGCTCTGTGCCGGAAGCTCAGAGCCTGGAGCCTGCTTCCGATTCTGTGTCTCCCTCTCTCTCTGCCCCTCCCCTGCTTGCGCTCTGCCTCTCTCTGTCTTTCCAAAATAAATAAACGTTAAAAACAAACAAACAAACAAAAAAAACCCCACAAAACAAAAGTTACCGACCTAACTTTTTTTAGGTGTACAGTTGATCATTAGTGTTCAGTATATCATACTACCTTTTGACTTCTCGATTTTAGACTCTATCTCCTGACCTCTCTGTTACCTGTAAGAATTCTCTATATTTCCTCTCAATAGAGTTGTGTTACTATTTTGACTTCCTCCATTGATTACCTGTGGACCATATAATTTCTCTGTCTCCTATGGTTGTTTGGGATATTAGAAGAGCTAATAATATGAAGCATTTAGGACAGTGACTGCTTTCATCTTAACCTGTTTGCATGGTAGCCATCTCTTTCTTCATGCTTTGCTAAAGGCGAAAGCTTTTTCGTGTTGCATCCGTCCTTTGGAATTCAGGCTACTTGGTTGCTTGCAGCCTCTGCACACTCTCTCATGAGCTCAAGAAAAATTAGGATTTTGTAGGTCATCTGGCTTTTTTAGGGTGGGGACAGTGTGGTCTATAGCTTCCTATATCCTCAGTGGGAGCAGGACTTCCCATTTTTCTATTGGGTTGTCTAACATTTTATTGATTTGTAGATGAACTTGTGAATTGTTTAAAAAATCCAAAACAACCTTCTGCTGGCGTTGCGCACTCAATGGGCTTTGAAGCCGTGATCCTGAACAACGAGGAGTGTACCTGGCATTCATATTTTGGTCTCTAGATAGTTCCATAGTAAATGTCACCATGGCTCTGTGAGGGGGTGGCTTCCAGAGGCAAGACCAGAACAAGCAAAGAGTTACTCAAAAACTGATGGAGACAACGTGAAAAGGCATAAGATGCTAGTCTGATGGTATCCTCCTGGCCAATTCTGGGACAGGTTGAACATCAGAAAGAATAATAATGCTAATGGATTATAATGCAATAAGTAAAAATGAAGGATCTGTGAGCCTACAGTTTAGTGTTAGAGAATTTCTAGCTTGTAAATGTAGAAGAGAGGGTCGTTATTATTTTGCAATCACTAGTGAAATAATTTAGGTAGAGATCATTAGTAGATGCTAACACCACTGGATAAAAGGGTTGTTGGGGGGTATATATCAACACAGTCTTAAAGCATCACAGGTTACTTAATGATTACAGAGGGAAAAGTATATCTTTTATAGTAGAGAGATCTAGCATATACAATACCTAGTGATCAAACCCAGCATCATCCGTTATGGGGCAGATGGACATTCTCTGCCTCCTGACATGATCTATCGAGAAGGACAAATTATCACCTATATAGTTTCTTGCCCCAAACGTTAAGTTATCTGAATCTAACTGAAAACAATAATGAGAAAAAAAGTCCATCAAACCCAAACTGTGGGACCTTCTAAAAGCAACAGTTGGTCTGGCCTCTTCAAAAATGTCAATGTCATGAAATCCAAAAGAAGATGGTCTATTCAAGATTAAGGAAACTAAAGTAATAGAATTAAATCTAGTACAAAATCCTGGATTAGGAGAATGAAAACTAAGACCATAAAAGATACTGGAACTTTCAGAGCTATTTAATAGAGACTGTATATTAGATATTCTATGTCAATGTTAGATTTCTTAAGGGTGACAGTAGCGTTATGTTTGTCTTTGTTCTTAGGAGATGCGTGCTGAAATATTGAGGGGTGAGGGTCATGAAGTCTTCAGTGCATTTGAAAATGATTTGACAAAACTACAAAATATGTAGACAGATAAAGCTAATAGGCGACAATGTTTTGCCTTGTGAATGTAGGTGAAAGATGTAAATAGTGTTCATTGTACATTAAAGGATTTCTTGGTTTGACATTTTCCCTAAAGAAAAATTTTGGAGGGAAGAAGACCCAGTAGCCATTCCTGATTCCTGATTGGTATCCTCTCTTTAAGAAGAATTTAATTACCAAGCACCTGGTTGGTTAAGTAGGTTTAGCATCCGACTTCGGCTCAGGTCATGATCTCACAGTTAGTGGGTTCAAGCCCCATGTCGGGCTGTATGCTGTCAGTACAGAGCCCACTTCAGATCCTCTGTCGCCCTCTCTCTGCCCCTCCTCAACATTTGCACTCTCTCAAAAATAAACATTTAAAAAGAAAAGAATTTAATTCCCAGAGCAAAAGATATTCTTACTCAGTACTGGTAAAGTAACCATTCCTGCTTCATCTAATCTTCTCACCTCCTTCCCCACAGATTCCTGAGAAGGCTAAGCCGTAAAGCCAAACAATTCTATGAACAGTGAGCCCTGTGTCTTTTACTGAGATTTGGTCTTAAAATGCACCGGCTACATTCAGGTTGTCCTTCAGAGGCCCTGAACATTTTATATTCACTCAAGTTTCCTGATATCTATGAAAGAATGTTCCACACTATGTCACAATTCCAAGCTTCAGTCTTAAAATATTGCTGTTAGTTATATAGCATTGGCCATATGCGTATTTATGACTGGCGAACCCATGCACTAGCAGCCTGTTTTCCTTTCCTTTTCCTTGTTCTTCTGCAGTGATATCTGGACTCCCCACCATGACGTCACTGATCACGGTAAAAGTGATTTAAGTTGTATTTTATTCTTTAGTGATAATAAATCCAAGTCATTCTCACAGAATGCAAGGGCTGGGTGAAAGAAAGTCTAGCCTAGGAATGCACCACAGGTTGGCATCTATGGAGATACTATCTTCAAATGTTATTACCGAAGGAGGTATGTCAGGCTATATCTCATAATAACTAGGTGATTTACCTCTGCTTATAAATGTGTGAGAACGAATACATTCCAGAGTGATCAGGATGTAATTGGCAATTGTTGAATGTGCTTGTACTTAAAAGTCTTGTCTTCGCTTTTTTCCTTTTCTCCCAAATGTACTGATTTTGTGAATTGTTGAAACCTGCATCACGTTTGCCCACAAGCTTTGTGTATTGATGATGCAGCCCAGGAAGCAGCAAACTTTTAAAATTAATTCCTAGAAAACATAGTACAGCAGCCTCCACTATGGTTTCTTAGGCACTCAGCTAGAGCTGAATTTGTCTTCTCTTTCTTCCTCATTCCTAGAAATTGCTTTCAGAATATGGGGGGAGGGGGCAGCATGATAGATAAACCCCGATACCGGATCCCTCTTTTTTAAAAACAAACAAACAAACCCGAACGTAAGTAAGCCTGTATAACTGAAGAGTCTCCAAAGATAAAGAAATAGTTCTTGGAAGCTATAATAATATGTTTAGCTTTTTACAGTGTCCACTGTGTGCTCACATCTCCTTTGGACCTCCAGTATAAGAAGACAAGATGTATATTAGTATCTTCATTAGAGTGAAAAAAAAGGTCAGCTGGTCATCTGACTAGTCACGCTAGATAGAAGCAGAATGTAGATTTTCTGTCTTTTGGTTGATTGCTTTTTGACTTGACTGCTTTGTCCAAGTTGTATCACTCTTGGCACCATCCTGTGATTTCTGAATGGCATTTTCCCATATAGACATCTCCAAACCCTAGTACTTCAAAGGCTTTAAAGACTTATGGAAGCCTTTCTAGTTCTTTCTTTTTGCTACTTTAGTTGGACTCCTAGAATCTTACCAACCCAGAATCCAAACAGGAGAATAGGGTTGCTGGTCAGAGTTAGAATCTCTCCCTTTCCCCTGTCATTCCTGGTTTCCTTTTTTTTTTTTTTTTTTTAAATCCTCACTGATCATTCTCTCAAGACGATACTTAGAGCTGCTTCAGAACTTCAGAATTCCTTCTGTTTTCTTTCTCTTCATCTAGAATTCCTAAAATTCCTAGTTGACCAGAATTGTTTTCTTTTCACTGTTCCTTCAGCTTTTATTTTCACTGTTCCAGCCAGCTTTCTGAGTTATTTTTTGTTAGCAAACCATTAGGCCATTTTCTCTTTCCAGAGGGCCTATGACGGGAGTACATATCTCCTTTGCTGTTAAGATCTGGTTGTGCACCCGTCTTTCTTTGTCTTTCTTTACTGACCTTTCCATCTGATACTCTATTACACAGACCTTCATCGGGTTAACATCCAGTGGTATTTCGTCTATTAGCTTCTACTCCATCTAGCTCTGCTTATTTTTCTTGTGCACAACAGGGAGCTATCTCTTTGTTACCAACCCTCAAGCCTCTCCTGAATCCTGAGGGCTCTATGTCCATCTGGCTGTTAGCTGGGCTTCTCTAGATCTTTCCATCTTATTTCCTGTTGTCCGGAGTCATTTCCATTCCTTGCGAGGACATAAGACCCCAAAGTTATAAGGCTTTTCAGTTAATCTTCACAGAATAGTCCTAAAATCCTCCTCAATGAAGAAAGAGAAAACATTCTTAGAGCTCCAGTTGGGAAGCCTTGAGTACTGAAACCAGGACGTCGTGTTAGACTATGTGCTTCAGGTCAGCCTTTCCTGAGGAGTATTAGTTATGCAAAGTTCCTCCCAGGGAAAGGTTGCACAGTTAACAATTCAGGAAGACTATACGTATTTCTCCTTCTGGAAGTTTATAATGTACGTTAACGTATTAAAGACCTCATGAAGAATTGTAGTAAGCCTAACTTATTTCAAGCCAAGGAATTTTGGTATTTCTCCATTTCTTCCATCGTGGAATCTTCTACACTCGTCATTATTAGTTGTGACACTTACATACCCCTTATGAAACAGTTGAGGGAAATACTCGCCTGCAGACTCCCGCAGTGTTGCTTCTCTCCCTTAGGTTAGACCTTTCTTCTCCCTTTTCCTTCTCTCCGTGCTTCTCTCCAACCTCCCTCAGTCTAGACATCTTATTCTTTAAAATTTAATTTATATTTAGTTTTAAAATTTATATGCTTGTTTCCCTGACCATGTGTCTCCTTTGCTCCCCCCACACCACATCCAGTCACACCTGCTGTGTTTTCATAGTACTCCGTGCATTTCTCGGTCATTGGAACCTACTGCATTGTATTGTGGTTGTCTGTGTCTGTCTACTCCTGCTGCACCTTGACCTCTTTGAGGGCAGGTATTTTTTTTTTTTAATATAATTTATTGTCAGGCTGGCTAACATACAGTGTATACAGTGTGCTCCTGGTTTGAGGGGTAGATTCCCATGATTCATCACTTACATTCAACACCTAGTGCTCATCCCAACAAGTGCCCCTCTCCGTGCAGGGCAGGTATTTTTATTGCTAGTCCCTAATGTATGATACTGTTTATTGATAACTCAATGAAAAAAAATGATTAGCTTTTCATCATCAGGGTGGCTCAAAGCCCTGCTGTTTTCCACAATATCCACTGGGCACCCACGGGACAAGCATACCCTACCTGTGCCAGGCCGAGGTGCCTCACCTTGACCTCTGCTCCACCATTTCTCTCTAGTTCCCTTTTTCTTGTTTAACTGGTACAGAGGGCAGAAAATCCGATCTACTGCAGGAACGGATACACAGCCATGGATGGGAGGCTAGTATCTTCATCTACAGCTGCCTCTATGAGTGTGTGATTCTCCTGGAAATCCCTCCCTGGGTTTTGGTATCGTGGGATTGAGGGGGAAGCACGCCCTCCCGAGGAGAAGATTTCACGAAATATATGATCTAGACCAGCAGTTTATGGTGTCCAAGATTCTCCTCCAGCTCCTAACCTTTGGTTCCACTGGTTGTGCTGATGGCCTGGTGGAAATCGAGCAGGCTTTACCCCCAGTTAGCAAATTCTATGGAGTTAGGTCTAGCCTGTGACAGCTCTGTTTAGAATGTGGACACACTCCTGGGCTTTAGCTGTGATTCTAAGCTGTTGGATAAGTCCCTTTTAGGATCCTGATTTTATAGCAGTCTATAGCTATATAACTAGATACAGAGAGATATTATATATATATAAATATGTATATATTTTTATACTCTAGGGATGGTCCATTATAAAGTATAAACCCTTTAAGATAATGACTATTGTTATGTTTTCTATATAATGCTTAACTTGCAGATTTATTAGTAACTCACTAATTGTAATTGTAGTATTTTGCCATAAGGCATTGGGCTAAATCTGAATCACTTTTTTTTCTTTTAATTTATTTTTGAGAGACAGAGACGGAGCATGAGTGGGGGAGGGGCAGAGAGCAAGGGAGACACAGAATCTGAATGAAGCAGGCTCCGGGCTCTGAGCTGTCAGCACATACAGACAGTGGGGATGAACCCAGGAACCGTGAGATTATGACCTGAGCCAAAGTCAGACACTTAATCGACAGAGCCACCCAGGTGCCCCAATCCCAAATCACTTTTTATCCTGACTTGTTACGACAACTATCTGGCTGTGTCGTTAGATGCTCAGGTGAAACTTTCTAGAGTACAAGCATTGTGATCTTACCTGAGAACACTTGGACCACTAAAGAGAATGCAGGCTGAAATGATTTTTGCCTTGGACTCTGAGAGGGAAGTCTGTGAGAGAGAAGAGGTTCTGGCTGACCTGACTTCTGATTGGTCAAAAAGCCAGCATAATTGGGTACTTCTTTTGCAGTCTGAAGTATGATATGTTTCCTTGCCAGCAGGTTCATACCTAATATATAAAAATTAATTTCATTTTACAATATAGTTTATTCACGTCCTTTTACTGAGCACTCAGTTAATTTCTGAGGTTTTTAACACCCTTTTTAGAATTTGGTTTGATGAAAAGTAGGCCATGAGTGTTTGCTGGGTATTTACCTATAGAGGTTCCAAGTTAGCTGTAATCATTAATTTAAAATGAATGTATTTAACTTCCAGGGTGAAAAGGAACAGCCCGTGTTTGCAATGACTGGCCTTCGATGGGGATCCTTCAGAGATGCTGGCGTCAAAGTTAGCAAGTAAAGGATTATGGGACTGCTGTGGGATGATTTTTAAGAAATCTTTTGCTCCTTTGACGTTTTGATCTCCAGTGATCTTCTAGGAATGAATGTGGTGGGCCTACGGGTTGAATTATGTATGAATAATACAGGTTGAGGTTTATAGCTTCCACACAGAGAGGTTAGGGACGGTTCAGTCTACCCTACCCTAGTTTGGTAGTAAAGTGGAGGAGACGCATCTCTGTCCCTAGAGGTCATATTTGAGGGCAGGCTAAGCTCATGCTGGATGGAAGCTGCCTGTCATCCACAGCCGGCTCAGCGGGGCACCCAGGGAAAGGCAGGCTGGAGCCCCGGCCCTCCGGAGCTTTTACATCCCTGGTCTGAAGACTGCCTGAGAGGTGCTTTTGTTTTGTTTCGTTTCTCCTCTTTTTAAAAAAATTTAAATTCTAGGTAGTTAACATACTGTGCAATATTGGTTTCAGAAGTACAGTTCATTGATTCATCACTTACCTGCAACACCCAGTGCTCATCCCAACAGGTGCCCTCCTTAGTACCCATCACCCATCTAGCCCATCCCCCACCCACCTCCCTCCAGCAACCCTCCGTTTGTTCTCTATCCTTAAGAGTCTCTTCTGGTTTATTTCCCTCTATTCTCTTTTTGCACCCCCCTTCCCATATGTTCATCTGTTTTGTTTCTTAAATTTCACATATGAATGAAATCATATGGTATGTGTCTTTGACTTATTTTGCTTAGCCTAATACACTCTAGCTCCATTCATGTCGTTGCAAATGGCAAGATTTCGTTCTTTTTGATCGCCAAGTAATATTCCATTGTATATGTATACCACATCTTCTTTATGCATTCATCAGTCAATGGACATTTGGGCTTTTTCCATAGTTTGGCTATTGTTGATAATGTTGCTATAAACATTGGGGTGTATGTGCCCCTTTGAATCAGCATTTTTGTATCCTTTGGGTAAATACTTAATAATGCATTTGCTGGATCATAGGAATAGTTCTATGTTTAGTTTCTAGAGGAGCCTCCATACTGCTTTCCAGAATGGCTGCACCAGTTTGCATTCCCACCAGCAGTGCAAGAGGGATCCCCTTTCTCCACATCCTCCCCAACACCTGTTTCCTGGGTTTGTTAATTTTAGCCATTCTGACAGGTACCTCATTGTGGTTTTGATTTGTATTTCCCTGATGATGAGTGATGTTGAGCATCTTTTCATGTGTCTGTAAGCCATCCGGATGTCTTCTTTGGAAAGTGACTATTCATGTCTTCTGCTCATTTCTTCACTGGGTTATTTGTTGTTTGTTTGTTTTGGGGTGTTGAGTTTGATAAGTTCTTTATAGATTTTGGATACTAACCCTTTATCTGATGCGTTGTTTTATGATATATGTCAATTATCTTATCCCGTTCCATCAGTTGCCTTTTAGTTTTCTTGATCCTTTCCTTTGCTGTGCAGAAGCTTTTTACCTCGATGAAGTCCCAATAGATCTTGTTTGCGTTTGTTTCCCTTGCCTTCAGTGATGTTTCTAGTAAGAAGAATCTTACACCTATAGGAGCTAGAAAACGAGCAACAAATAAAGCATAAAGCCCGCAGAAGAGGGGAAATAATAAAGATTAGAGCAGAAATAAATAATATAGAAACAACAACACCAAAAACCAACAGTAGAAGACACCAGTGAAACGTAAGAGCTGGTTCTTTGAAAAAGTAAACAAAACCAAACTTACCAAAAAGAAGAGAGACAGGACCCAAACAGATAAAATCACAAGTGAAAGAGGAGAGATTACAACCGACACCGCAGAAATACAAACAATGATAAAGAGGATACTATGAGAAATTATATGCCAACAAACTGGGCAATCTGGAAGAAATAGCCAAATTCCCAGAAACTCACAAACTACCAAAACTGAAACAGGAAGAAATAAAAAATTTGAATAGACCCATAACCAGCAAAGAAATTGAATCAGTAATCAAAATTCTCCCAAGAAACAAGAGTCCTGGGCCAGATGGCTTCCCAGGGGAATTCTACCAGACATTTCTTTTTAATGTTTTATTTATTTTTGAGAGAGCGAGAAAGCAAGCAGGGGAAGGGCAGAGAGAGAGAAGAAGACACAGAATCCAGAGCTGGCTCTAGGCTCTGAGCTCTCAGCACAGAGCCCGATGTGGGGCTTGAACTCATGAACTGCGAGATCCTGACCTGAGCTGAAGTCAACTGACTGAGTCACCCAGGTGCCCCTCTACCAGACTTTTAAAGAAGAGTTAATACCTATTCTTCTCAAACTGTTCCAAAAAATAGAAATGGAAGGAGGGCTTCCAAACTTACTCTGTGAAGCCTGCATTACCTTGATTCCAAAACTAGACAAAGACCCCTAAAAAGGAGGGTTATAGGCCAGTATCCCTAACATGGATGCAAATATTCTCAACCAGGTATTAGCAAGTTGAATTTAAATAGTACATTAAAAGAATTATTCACCCATGATCAAGTGGGATTTATTCCTGGCCTACAGGGCTGGTTCAATATTTGCAAATCCATGTGATACACCACATTAATAAAAGAAAGGATAAGAACCATGTGATCCTGTCAATAGATGCAGAAAAAGCATTTGACCAAATATAGCATCCATTCCTGATTAAAAACCCTCAACAAAGTGGGGATAGATGGAACATACCTCAACATCATAAAGGCCCATATGAAAGACCCACAGCTAATGTCATCCTCAATGGGGTAACACTAAGAGCCTTTCCCCTACAGTCAGGAACAGGACAAGGATGTCCACTCTCACCATTACTATTTAACATAGTACTGGAAGCCTTAGCCTCAGCAGTCAGATAACAAAAAGAAATGAAAGGCATCCAAATTGGCAAGCAAGAAGTCAGACTTTCACTATTTGCAGGTGACATGATAAGTTGATGTAGAAAACCCAAAAGACTCCACCAAAAGATTGCTAGAACTAATACAGGAGTTCAACAAAATCTCAGGATATAAAATTGATGTGCAAAAATATGTTGCATTTCTATACACCAATAACAAAGTGGTAGAAAAAGAAATCAAGAAATTGATCCTATTTGCAATTGCAGCAAAACCAGTAAGATACCTAGGAATGAACCTAACTAGAGAGGTAAAAGATCTGTACTCTGAAAACTACAGAACACTTATGAAAGAAATTGAGGAGGACACGAAGTAATGGAAAAGCATTCCATGCTCATGGATTGGAAGAACAAGCATTGTTAAAATATCTATACTACCCAAAGCAATCTACACATTTAATGCAAACCCGGTCAAAATACCGCCAGCATTTTTGTGTAGAGCTAGAACAATCATAAGATTTGTATGGAACCACAAAAGACCCTGAATAGCCAAAGCAGTCCTGAAAAAGAAACTGGAGGCATTACGATTCCAGATTTCAAGCTGTATTACAAAGCTGTAGTCATCATGGCAGTATGGTACTGGCACAAAAACGGACACATAGATCAATGGAACAGAATAGAAAACCCAGAAATGGTCTCATATATGTATGGCCGACTGAAAATAGATGGTCTCTTCAACAAACGGTGCTGGGAAAACTGGACCACTTTCTTACATCATACACAAAAATAAATGCAAAATGGATGAAAGACCTAAACGTGATACAGGATACCATCAACATCCCAGAGAAGAACCTCTTTGACCTCGGGTGGAGCAACTTCTTGAAAGGTGTTCTTTTTGAAAGCCTAGCTACATTACAGTGATACTTGGGAATTGAGAGAGTCAGGGAGAGGCTGATTATGTGTTTCTTATAAATACTTGTAAACCTATCTACTGTGTAACTCAAGCCTAGCGGATTGAGAGACCACAGGCTGCCTGTCTCAGAAGGAAGCAAGGGGGACGCCTGGCAGTGTTTTTTGCTGGAAGAAACAGACCCGTGGACCTGGGGATGAGAGGCTGTTGCTGGCTTCCATGGAAATGGACTTAGTTTTGGAGGGTTCACTGTGCCGAATGAAAGAGGGTGCACCATGTTCTGTTCGAAGTGGAGGGTGGTGAAGGCAGAAGCTTCCTGAGGTGGGACTAAGGAGACCCTGCATGAGGTTCAGTCCCTATCTGGTGGGTGGTGCCTTTTCTTTACCTTTCCTTAACATCAGGCTTATGTGTTCAGTGCAGTTTAAATGAGTTGTGATCAATCTCACACATAGCTTTTATCAAGAAAACTCTTCCTCCTCATAGGTTTTCCTGCTGCACTTTCTTTACAGAAATTGCTCATACTTGTCTCACTTTCGTTATTCCTGCTGATCAGGCTCCTGAGAGTGGAATGTCAAAGAGAGATGGGTTGTATCATACTACACCCTGCAGTTCAGCTTTTCACATTGTTTTTATTGGCAAGTTTGCCATGATTCCCTTGACTGCACAAATCACCTTAGGTTTTATCTGTGATCTCGAATACCAGCAACTCCATCAAGAGAAATTGCTTAGTTTTCCCTAAAAGAGTCTAATGAGAACAAATGGCTTCCTGAAATGTGTTAATCGACAGCTGAGCACCAGCATAGCTCAGCCCCTTTAGGAATATCTCACACACTTACCCATATTCTGGTGGGTTTAGGAACAATGACTTTTAAAATACTGGTGGTGTTTTTCTAACCCCTCGACTAGGACCCTCCACCAAGTCGCTCCGTGTGCTGTGGGAGAAGCAGTCGGCTTGCAAGATGCGGTTTCCTAGCTGGCCATCAGGCTACAAGTGCAATGTCAAGCTCTGCTATTGGTAGAGATGAATGGAACTGTGGATACTGAGAAACAAACCACCTTCCTCTCTGGCCAGCTGGGAAAAGAAGCAAATTACATAAGCTTAAAAAAAACCAGATGATGAAGACCTTAATTAGTAGCATCACAGTATTAACCTGAATGATAATTAGGATGGCTTCACATCGCTCACTGGATTCATCACTCATTCCACCTAACCTCCTCATTCTGTCATTCAAGGTCTAACTTAATCTGTCATCAATCCTAACTCCATAGTTACAGATCTATGTTTTTTGCTGTGGCTGTTATTCTGCATGGTTCCCGCACCTTTGCTGCTCTTCTCGCCTAGAATGATTCCTTTCCCTCTTCCATGTACCTAAATCCAAACCTTCTTTCTAAATCCCGTACCTTTACTTTGTCCTTGAGCCACTCGTTATATAGGCATGGCTGCTCTGATGGTTTTTGGCCCTTAGTGATTTCTTGTCCCTTCTTGACTCTCATTACCAATAAATGGTGATTGGTTTATTACCAATATAAACACAAATGGTCCTTTATTGTTTTCTGCTACTTTTTTGGGTTTATTTTCTCAAGTTATAGGCCTTCAAAGGCAGGAATTTTATACTCTGTATTTCTTGTGTTTGCTTCATATACATAGTAAGTGCTAAATAAATACATATTGATCAGAATCAAATAGGGAGCACTTCAGCTGTGCTGGTAGGGGCCGGAGATAAATTTTAAGAGATAAATTTTATGCCACTTTTCTAATTCCCAATAGTCTTCTCTCTCTACGCTAGCTTTTATGTATTTAGCAATATGAAGTAGACCCTCTTCATTCACAGATTTAACACTCGCTATTTTAAAGCTGCGTAACACGAGTAACGTGAAGTTACGCTGATTTACAGACTTTGTGAGAGAGAGAAAGAGAGAGAGTGTGTGTGTGTGTGTGTGTGTGTGTGTGTGTGTGTGTGTGTACATGGCATACAGGATACAGTCACTTAGCTTGTGAGTCACACACCAGATCACCCTGGCATCTGCATCTCGTTGTGGCTTCATTGTCCTCCACTCATTGCACTTCTGAATGTAGACTGCACCACATTCTCGGCTTGAAAGTGTATGTTACAGTGATACCTGGGAACTGAGTCAGGGAGATGCTGATTCTGTATTTCTTTTAAATTGCAAGGATCTATCCACTGTGGAACTAATTACACACAGTTTGACACAGCATTGAAATGCAGATTAAAAACTTAACTGTCCTACTGTTTTCTGCTAAAGCACAATGCCTAAGCCTCCAGAGCTCTGAGTAGAGTGTAATTCTTGGTCCACCCCTCTTCCTAGAGGGTTTATGAATAGTGTGCCCAGTACATACATCTAATGTATGTCCTTCATGAATGGCCTCTAACATGTTGATAGTTCTCTGAATATTCTAATTAGATTTTTATCTTGATCTTAGGTACTGGTATCTTGGTCCCCTAAAAACCAAAGCGGCTCACTTCTTCAGTACTCTTAAGGTAAGTGCAATTTACAGTGTAGAAATTTGCCCTGTGTTATTTTGTTGTTAGTTTGTGATGTGTGTATTTGGATTTGGAAAAATTCCTTGCTACAGTTATATATGACCTTCTCCAGTGCTAAAATGAGGTAATTTACTTAGGTACAAATGCAGAAAGCCTTCCTGCTAGCTAAGCATCACCCCTCCTCTACCAGCTCATTACCAAACCCATACTTAATTTCTCTTTGATATTCCATTTGTTTTTGCCTATTTTATTCATTCACTCTTGCCAGACAAACCTGGAACAGAATGACCTATATCTCCTCAGTGATTTGTAAGGGTGTCTATATTTGATTCTGGAAATGAATTGAAGATTTGTATCTGAATGTATGATTGTACAGGCTTGCGTATAATAGAGTGTTTCAGACAGTGCCAGCGAAATACAGGTAGTGGTTACTGTTTGGACAGTACAAATAAAGAATATCTCCAACATTGGAGAACGTTCCATTGGGCAGTGCTGCTATAGCCTATACACTGAAAAATGTTGGCATAGAGAAAAGCTGAACAATGTATATTAACGGAAATGCTAATAGAAAAGTCATCTTTGTCTGTGGACGATATATTGTGTTCAGCTTTTATGCAAATCAAAGCAGTAAATACAAAATTTGGCAGGTCAACCTGAAAATTGGCAGATGAAGTTTATAGTAAAAATCTTCGTTCTAATGTTAATATTCAGGGCATCAAGTGTTTTTCTAATTATAAAAGTGATGTATGTCCATTGAAAAACATTTGGAAAACATAGCTCCCTTTACCTTCTAAATAAATCCCCATTGTGTTAAAGAAATGTAAAAACATAAAGCCCCTAAAGTACTAGGGGTAGCCAATTTACATGATTATGAAAATGAACTTGGAGGGCAATGCCTTCCTACACTGAAAGCAGACTGTAAAATGTAAAATGCATTGTTACACTTGCTTACGGGAATAATTTCCGTGGTGGAGTAGTAGGTGCATTTAGGAAGAATAGAGTAACTACCTATTTAACTTGTAGAATAGGGAGAATGTGAACTGTTTACACCATTTCTTTAGCAAACAGTTATTTTTTAGTTTATTTTTGAGGGAGACAGTATGAGAGCAGGGGAGAGGCAGAGAGAGAGGGAGACACAGAAACCTGAAGCAGGCTCCAGCTCTGAGCTGTCAGACCAGAGCCTGATGCGGGGTTCAAACTCACGGACCACGAGATCATGAGCCAAAGTCAGACACTTAACCAACTGAGCCACCCAGGCACCCAGCAAGCAGTTATTAAATATCTAATGTGGCAAGCCCTGCTAATGCTTGGAATACAAAGTCCAATAAGGCAGGTTTCCTGCCCCCAAGAAGGAGTCACGTGCAGGGAACAGGAGTGACAAGTAAATCAGTGGTTCGGCAAGTGCTGGGAGAGCATGTGGAAAGCTAAGGTGGGAGCAGAGAGGAGGGGCATTCATATCTGACTCCGGGACAGCAGTCTTCTCAGAGCAGGGAATACTTTTACTAAAGTTGGAAATCTGTACAGGACTAGATCAAGGGCATCCTGAGTGGAGGAAACAGGATGTGGGATGTTCCTGTGATGTCACGTGGCCAGTGTGATAGAATAGCAGGAAGGGGGTTGTGGGGTTGGAGAGGGGCCAGCCACTACAGGTCTGAATGTGGGATCTCACACCATTAAAGTGTTGGGGAGTTACTGAGTCTTAAGCAGGGGAGAGACATGAGCAGATAGGCATTTTAGAAAAGTTACTTGTCAACAGTGTAGACAAGAGATTGCAGTGGGTGATTAAGGCAAGGGCACCAGATAGAAGATTGTCCAAGTAAGCCAGATGGGAGGGGATAAGGTCCACACAGGGTGGGGATAGTGCGCGTTGACAACAGAGAATGGATTACAGAGTTACTGAAGTTGAGCTCTCAAAAATGGGAAGGAGAGTATAGGACCCCAGGTTTCTGGTTTCAGGGACTAGTTGGCTAACCAGAGTTTTCCATTAACATTGAAGTAAGTTAGGGAATCAATGGGAGGTAAAGAAGTGGAGACAGAGGGTTGGACCCCTCCTTCAGGAAGCCTGACTTTGAAGGGAAGGAGATAGAAAAAGCGAAAACTAGTGAGAAATATGGGGCCATTGGAGTTGGGGTTGTTCTTATTGATTGGAGAGAGAGCCATGTCTTTATACCCGGAAACAAGAGACAAGAAGACTCGGTAAGTAAGAGGAGTAAGAGGAGTAAGTAAGAGGAGACACAAAGCATGACCGAGGTGGCAAAATGCACGCTCAGGAAGAAGGGCGTGGGCCCAAGGTACTGGGTCAGACTTGAACACAGAAAGGGGCGCCCTTTTCCATGGGAGAGAAGAGAAATAAAGCAGAGGTCCAGGTGCAAACAAGTGTATAGAGCGTTCAGGCAGTTCTCACGGAGGTCCTGACAGTCTCACTGAAGCGCAGGAAGCAAAGTGATCTGTTGAAAATGAGGTGGGAGGTAGTGGTGGGGGGGATTTTGAAGAAAAATGAAAACAGGGAGGTTGGGAAGGATTATCAAGTGGCATTGAGGACCTGAGACCAAGAATTTTGTGACACTCATGTCCTTCTTTCCCTGTATCAGTACTTACCCAGAGTATTGTTTGCCCTTCTAATAACACCGAGACACGATGTACAAGTACAGAAACCTAGTGACAAGATCGATCCAGAATAGGGGCTTTTCAGGGCCCCTATTTGGAGCACCAAAGATACAAGAGAGTCAACGGTGACGGGAAAAGAGTGATTTGATGTAATCAACCGTTAATTAGGTCTGAAGGAAATGGGGTCAAAGACGGCAGTTCTCAATGTGATTGGAAATTTGGTGTGGTTAGGTTCCTCAGGGGTCTAAAACTAACACCCTTCTCTACCTCTTCTGAGTTTCAACCAAGTTATGAAAGCAAATGCAGGAACCAGGCAAATGGAGATGAAAATACCAGCCTTATAAATGTCAGCAGGAGTAGAGGACACAGCTTAGATAATACAGTCACAATCAGATTTCTGAGTACTCCAAACTGAATTCATCCCCTTAAAACGTCTCCCTCAGGGCAGACTGCTGTAGGAAGCTGACTGCCTGAAGAAGCAGATTCCCCAGAACAGCTACTTTCAGAGAGAGAATTGTTACTCCTTTGTGATTCATTGCATGGTAACCTGAGAACAGGCGGGGATTTGTTCACCCTAAGAGATATATTGAGCACAAAAGAATAGAAGACTATGGGATGTGGTTAGAGCGTAGGATATCAACGTTTCAGGTTTCCAAGATGGAATAGTTCTGGGTAACAGGAACAACCAGGATGTGGCCATGGAAATGGGTGACTCGGGGGGGGGGGGGGGGGGGATTAGAAGTGATGTCAGCTGAGAGGCTAGGGTTTTGTTTTAATTATTCCTGTGGACACTGATCAGATGGGCTTGGGGTGTCAGGAAATAAAAGACACAAAAAATCTAGAGTTTGAAAATGATGTTCTTTGAAGCCTTGGGTTGCATCACGAGGCTGGCCTAAGCCACTCTGGCCTCCGAGTGGAATACGATTCCAGAAGTGAAGAAGGTATTCGATGCAACTGGACTTCACGCGTTTCATTTTTGTGTCACCATCTGTAAACCAAAGATCAATCCATTATGGGAGGATTCTGTGCTCATTCAAATGGCTATTTTGGGGGGAAGCATACGCGGTTGTTGTTAGTCCACGTGGACTTTCCACTCTGTGTGTGTGAGAGCAGTGGAGACCGCAGTCACAGAGTTCATGGTTTTCAGGACAGAAGATAGGCCTTCCATAGGAAAAGAAAGCTTGGGGACTCCATGCTCCAAATTAGAGATCATTCCAGACAGAGATTATTAATTAGCGTTCAGGTTGGTGCAGGTAGAGATAGTCCCAGAGTTTGGACCGGTGTGTGCATGACCAGTTTCTCTCTTCATGTTAAAAGGAGTGGCCGCAGACTCATCAAGCCTCTATCTCGTACACGGGACCCACAGAGAGACTTCCCAGTGGAGCAGAAGAGACCCCTCCGCGGCCCTCTCTGTACAGGAGAATACTGCGAAGGCTCGCGTCGTACTGGGCCCAGCCACAGGACGGTGAGCCGCGTGGTGGCTGCGGCGGTCCGTTCAGGACTGCCTGGCGCGGGCCCCGGATCGGCGTGGGAGACTAACCTAGCACAGGAGAAGCCTTTCAAGGGTCCTTGAAGTAGCCTTGTGTGCGCCACAGAGCAGGACCCGAGCCAGCCCAGTGTCCCCAGGAACAGGAGCAGCCTGTGCCATTGGTGACAAACTGCAGCTCCCCCTTCCTGTCCCCAACTGTGGTGTTACTGTGGCTGCTTTGGTAGGGTTGTTTCAGGCATAGAGATTGCATTCTGAGCGTGGCTCTTTGTAGAAGAGTAAGGAAAGGAAACTGAGGTGGAGAGTCCGCAGGCGGGAGAGGGAGGCCACGCCGGTGGGGCAGTAGTGGGACGCTAACGGAAGAACTTGACCTGAATCTAATACACCCACACAGCCCTTTCCCAGGAGGTGAGGCCCGAGGTCTGGAAAGAAGTGCAGCTGTCCACCATTGAGCTGTCCATCACCACGCGGAACAGCCAGCCGGACCTGATGGTAAGTGTGCCTTTTCATTAGAAGAGCATTTGGTCTCTGGGAAAAGTGACCAAGGCTGCACACTCTTCCACTAACTGGGTATTTTTATTTTTACTCTGTGGGGGGAGAGAGGAAAGCACCGGGAAAAAGAGGATGTGGTGTGCTTTTAGGGAATAATTGCAACGAGAAGGCGTGGTGAGTGAAGTAGCGGCTTCAAGCTTAACGGGCTCGAGCAAGTATGCGGGGCACTGCTTAGTAGAAACGAAAAGTTAGCCTGCTCCCTTTGTCCCAGGAATAGAAAATTATGGAACTTTTACTTGAGTGAATACCCATTATTTTTGTGACTATATTAAATATGTGGATTTAGGTCCACAGGAAAAAAAATCTATATATACATAGAGTCCAGTCTGTTGACAGACACTGTCCAGTACAGTGGCCTCTAGATTCGTGGCTATTTGAATTAAATAAATGCTGGCACTCATTTCTTTATTTGCAGTAGCCACATTTCAAGTGCTCATTAGCCATATGTGGCGAGTAGCTACCACAATGGGAAGCACAGATACAGAATGCTTCTATTAGTGCAGAAAGCTCTGGATAGTGTGCCTATTGACAATGCCCCCCAAAAATGTTCAAATAACACAGAAGTTGACACACTGGTTTGCCACCTATTTTTGTATAACCCACAAACTAAGAATTGATGTCACATTTTTCAATGGGTATAAGAAAATGAGAAGAAGAATGATATTTTGTGATATGCAGAAAGAATAGGAAATTCAAGTTTCAATGTCAGTTAAGTATAGTTTAGTTGGAAGAATGTGGTTCTTACATGCTGTCTCTGGCTGCTTTCTGGCCGTGACGGCAGAGTCCACTAGTTGCCATGGACTTTCTGGCCCCAAAGCCTAAAATATTGACTTCTCTGGCCATTCAGAGTTTTCTGACCCCTACTGTAGAGAAAACCTTAGTAGTTAATGTTAGTGAGAATGGTAATAGGAAAGTTGTCCTGACCTGTGGACCAGTTACTGAGATCAGGGTTTCTGTAGATCCAAGTAGTATGTTTACAGTTGACCCAGTCTGGAGACTGAACGTAGGTATTGAATGTAGGAGTGCAGTGGGGAGTTCGACTCCAATGTTAATAGAGGACTGACTTGTTTTGTAATTATAAGAATAATATGTGTCCATTCTATAACCTTTGGATAACATAGCTTCCCTCACCTAAATTAATTCAAATTGGATTAAAGAGTTAAATTAGAAAAATAAAACCATGAAAGCACTAGACTGAAAGCTAAGTGATTATTGATATAAACTTGGGGAGGACCAGGCCTTTCCAAGCATGGCATCTGAAGCAAAAATTTTATTGATGCATTTGCCTACTTACAATGAAAGAAACTATAAACAAAAATTTTAATGACAAATTGGGAAAAAGAATGTGATAAAGCAGGAGTTAATAGCTTTCCTTTATAACAAACTTAAGAAATAGGCAAAGAACTAATTTAAATAACAGGCACAGGACAAGAATAGAAATTCACAAAGGACATAAACCTGAAAAAATAGCTTACATTTGCTGAATATATACTGTATGCTGGGCACCATCCTGAGAATTTTACATAGTGTCAACTCATGGAATCCTCAGAACTACCTTATCAGGTGGATCTAACTTTTATATTCGTGTAATGGGTAAGGAAATAGGAAAAAAGGCTCAACATCAAAGAAATGCAAGTTAAAATAATGACTACTGAAATGTCCTGTAGCAAGCATGCTAGCATGTGGTGTCAGTGGGGAAAGGCTCTCGTGCATTTCTGCTGGACGTGCAAGTCAGAACACCCTTTCTTGACGGCATCTCAGTGGTCTCTGCGAAGCATCTAAGATACAAGCAGCCGCTGGCCCTGTGAAGTACGTTTCTAGGAATTTATTGCACAGGAACAGTCAGCTACTTAACATAGAGTAGACCTGCCTTTCTTACATAATGGGATTCTGAACACACTGGTGGAAGTGAATGTAGTAAGGTTGAAAAAATAGTTTCTGTTCTGGAGGAATTTCATGAAGAAAGATAAAATTTCTAATTATACATTGCTTTTATACCCAATCTCTGATAATGCGTATTTCTAGTATTTTGTTCATGTTCTTCATCATCGTTCTTTTCTCTGATGATAGAATACCAATGAATGGATGGAGTTCAGTGGAGGATGTGATTGTGGGTCAAGATTAGCCACATGTAATTAGGAAAGTGTATGATACTGTGCTGCTTATCACTCACAGCAGCACATTCATTTCCTTTTCCCACACCTCCTTGTAAAAATAAAAGCAAATGCAAGAAAATAATTCAAAGACAATGAAGCTGCCATGTAATAGCTCCAAATTCATTTATCACTTTAAAAAGTACATTCAGAGTCAAAGAGGCTTTAAGGGGTGTGGAATGTGTGGAAATTAGGATCTCTTGTTCAGTTCTGTTCACTGTATTTATAATCGCAAAAATGTATGAAACAAATGAACCGTGGGACTGATTAAATGCATTCTGGTGCATTTATTTAAAATGTTCTCTATTTACTGACATGGAAAGATATTCATCATATATTGTTAGGTGAAAAACCATGCTAGTATGATATGCATCACATGGGTCTATTTTTATTTTAAAAAGAAACACTCTCTAAAAAAAAAAAAAAAAAAAACGAAAGAAAGAAGCACTTTCACCTATAATTGAGTTTTGTGAATGATGGAGGCAAGGCTCCAATTTCATCCTCTTTTCTGATGGAAAGCCAGTTGTCTAAGCACTGTTTACTGAATTTCCTCCCCCCCGCTCCCCCATCTGCTGTGAACCCCCCTCATACTGTAAGTGTAGGTACACACGGACATGTGTGCATTTTCTCTCTTCAATTGCTCTAATTTTCTAGGCTCATATTAGTACTATGCTGCTTTTAATTATCATCATTTTATAATAAGTCCTTCTGTTTTTCTTAAAGAGTCTCTTGGTTATTATTCTTGGCTCTTAGACCTCTATAAATCTCTTAAAAGGTTTATCTTATTAGATTCCACATAAAAATCTGTTATATTGATCAGATATAACAGATTTTTATTGAATCTGTAGATCAATTTGAGGAGAAATGACATTTCTATAATATTGACTCTTGTGTTTTGTGAACGTGGCATAGCTCTTCATTAGGTTTTTTAATGCCTTTCAATGAAGTTTTATAGCCGTCTCTAACATTTTGTCTTTTGCTGGATATATTCTTGGTTATCTTAATTTTTGATGCTGTTGGAGATAGTATCCTTTAAAATTTCATTTTTAAATATCTGCTTTAGATGGACATGTAATTGACTTTTTTATAGATATGCAATCAACAATGTTATAACTAAGTTCTTATCATTTATAGATTCCTTTGGATTTTCTATAGACTCGCTCATATAAACTGCAAATGGTGCAAGTTTTATTTTTCCTTTCAAATACTTTGCCTTCTCCTCTTTTCTCTTACTGTTTTGGGTAGGACTTCAGTAGAGTGTGAAGTAGAAGTAGTGCTAGCTGATGTCATTATCTCACTCCTGATGTAGATAAAAAGGTTTCATTGCTGAGTTTGATGGGATTTTTTTGTAGACACCTTTTATAAGATTAAGAAGTTCCCTTCTATTCCTAATCTCCTAATTTGTTCTTATCATGAATGGATATTTAAGTTTATCAAGTCTCTTTCCAGCATCTACTGAGATAGTCTTCTCATGTAATTCTTTGTCTACAACGCTGTTGGTTGCTCATGCACTACTTGTAAAAAACAAACCCTAGACTTCTGTGTCAGCTGTCTACTTAACTTGTCCTCTTGGATGGCTAATATGCCTTTCAGTCTGTGTGTCCAGAACAGCTCCTGCTCTTGGCCCCCACTCCTTGCTGGTGGTGCTGCTTCCTGTCTCCCCATTGCTGTTGACTATAATTCCATTCTTTTCAGTGGTTCAGGCCAAACATCTTGGAGCCACCCTCTTTCCCCTTGCATCTAATCGTTGTGGAAGTGCTGGTGGCTTCACCTTCTAAATACTGCCAGTGCTTAACACATTCTCCCCAGCTGCCTGCTCTAAGCCGCCACCATCTGCCTATTCCCGTGGGTTCCTAAGTGGCTGCCCTGCTCCCCCCCACCTTCCTCCTAATTACAGCAGCCAGAGAGGTCCTATTAAAATGAAGCCAGATCATATTTCTCTGCTTAGAACCTTCCGATGATTCCTCATTTCACTCCGCCTCACTGCCAAATCCTTGGAATGGTCTACAGACCCTAGGGCTCTGGCCTTGCTTCTTCTGACTTCCTCTCCTGTTTTCCCTTCTCTTGCTCTGCTCCAGCCACACTGGCTTCCTCGCTGCTCTGTGGCTTGTAGAGCATGCCTCCATGCTCGGCCCCTGCCCTGGAAGCTCCTTGTGTGGCTAGCCCCTCTCCAGGCCAGTGGTGCTGAGTACAGTCTTTGGGAACTTGTTAGAAATGGACACTTTTGGGCCTCACCCCAGATCTATGAACCGTAAGCTCTGAGAATGGGGCCAGAGTCTGGGTTTTAACAAGCCTTCCAGGTGATGCTTGCTGAAGTTTGAGAACCACAGCCCTGGATGTCCACATTGCTAATTCCCTCACCTCCTTCAGGCCTCTGCTCAGAGGTTCTCCCCTCCCCCCCCCCCCCCCCCCCCGGCAGTGAGGCTCACCTGGACCCCCACCACCCATACCATCTGCTGTTTCTTGTGCTGGTTCTTTTATCTCCTGTTCCTAATAAACTTTCCTGTCCTTCTAATATTCTTATTTTCTAATATACTCCATAATTTACCATTTATATTTCTATGTAATTTGCTACTCTTATACTGATACACTCTAACATGCTTCTGGTATATTCTATAACTTGTTTATCCCCTCTGCTCCTCAAATATAAATTCTTTGTAAGCAGAAATATTTGTTTTTTTAGTTCTTTGATGTAACCCAAACACCTAGAAGAGTTCATGGTAGTTGACATTCAGTAAGTTGTCGAATAAAAGGTGAACTTAGAGCAAAGTCATCCCCTCTCTGATCTGTAATTCCTGGGTGAGAGGGAAAGTTGTGCTTTGGGAGAACTCTTTAGTCTTCAGGAAAGGCTGTCTGCTCTCAGCAGATTATCTTGGGGCAACGGATTCTGAACCTGTCCAAAAAGAAGCAAAACCTCTACCTGAAGCAGACAGAAGTGTAGGGACTGATTTATAGAGGGCCGGGGTTGTATTGCTAGCCACTGCCTGCTAGTAAACAGGGGTGGAACGGTGCAGGAACCCAGTCTGGTTTTATAGTCACTTCACTGTAGCTCAGTTCTTCCAGAGCTCTCGGTGGTGAGTAATGAAAAGTTTTAAAAGCACTACCATGGCAGAAACGAGGTTGTGGACCTTCACCTCTGGTCACATATCGAAACTCCACGTAGAACATGAAAAACCACATGAAAAACCACGCACACCGAGATGCACTTCAGCTGGTGTGCTGTGCTGCTGGCCTGCGGTGAGGGTGTGGGCTTGCCGGGGGCGGGGCTGAAGCTTGGCCTGCGAGGGAGGGGACCCTACACACCAGAGCAGCTATGACGACTAGGGACAACCTCACAAACCTCCCGCTCTGAGTCCTGACAAACCTGAGTTTTCGTTTAGCTCTCTGGGGAGTAGAAACCAACCAAACAAGCAAGCAGTGAGGAGCTTCATGGTGTGTAAATTATACCTCAACAGGAGTCTTCATGTAAAAGAAAGAAAGGGAATATATTCAGGATGAAGTTGTTGCAAGTAAAGGCCTCTGTGTGGTAAACAACTTCAAAGTATGAACCTCTGGGGGCAAAGGAGGACACCGGGCTCTATTTGCCAAAATGTAGAATGTTAATGATCGTCTTCTGACCTTGTAGAGCAACGAAGACTTCATGAACATCTGCATTGAACCCGACACTGTCAGCAAAGGGGACTTCATAACCATAGGGTAAGTGGACCGGGGTGCGTAGGAAATGCGGGTTCAGTAGTTTGTATTCTCAGACATACTCTCCAGAGTGCCCGGGAAGCCTGATGAAGACCTGGCAGGGGACTGAGACGCCTTCTTTCTTTCAAACAGTTGGGCTGACGTGTAGAGCACGTCTCTCCTGCTTTGGCCTTCCCTGTTCACGTGTCATGCGAGCACGCTCTGCCTTTCCAGTGAAATGAAGGTTCTTTGTGGCATTGCAGTGTCCACAATTCTGGCTTCAGGGTTAAAGTTACTGGATACAGATCTGGATTCTGCCGCGTCCTGGCCTCGTGACTTGGGCAGACCCTTTAGCTTCTCTGGCTCCGTTCCTCTGTGTACAGGAAAGAATAGTGAAGTCACATCTAATACCTCGGGGTTGCCTTTGAGCCTCACATGAGAGAGTGTGTGGGAAAGTCCTTGTTGTGAAGCACTTCACAGTATGGGTTGCTATGCATGCCGGTCCTATTCTCAGGGCAGCAATGAAAAACCTGAAAAGGTATTGAGTACCTTGGCCATTCTCCAGGCCGTTCCTCTTTTCCACTAGAAAATAGTCTCCTGTCCTGATTTGTTAAGGGTGACCTCTGCCAGAGTTTTATTGGTTAAGAACCCCCTGACCCCCCCCATCAAGTCTTCCACACATCGGAGGAGCGTGTTGCCATGCCAACTGGTAATCTGCTCAGCGATGTTCTTTGTGCTTTGTCTCAGAGCTCCCTCTTGTGCCTGTCTGTCTAAGGACTGGGCATTGCTGCCGAGGCAGCCCGGTCTCCATGGCTACGCTATTGTCTGCACCAACAGCCGAGGCAGAAGGTCTTTCTTTGGTTTGTGGTGTTCTCGCCTTTGCTACAGATTCTTGAGATGCTGAATAGCTGATTTTTGCAGCCTTAGATTTGCTTACTGTAGCTGCAGCAGAAGGAAGAGGGAAAAGCCTTTCCTTTCTCCTAGAAGGTGTTCAGAAGCCCCACACTGTCTTGATTGAGTCTGGCCTGTAGGGCCAGCTGTGCCCAGATTTCCTTCATAAGACATCCAAAAATAAAATCAGAGGGATGCCTGGGTGGCTCAATTGATTAAGTGTCCAACTTCGGCTCAGGTCCTGATCTCACGGTTCCTGGGTTTGAGCCCCAGGTTGGGCTGTGTGCTGACAGCTCAGAGCCTGGGGCCTGCTTCCGATTCTGTGTCTCCTCCTCTCTCTGCCTCTCTCTCTCAAAAATAAATGTAAAAAAAATATATTAAAAGAAAAATAACATCAGAAACCCTTTATGTTTATATTGCTTCATGTAGGTGAGGTCCTTATGTTCTGCATCATTGCTGTCCTCCTTCGCAGCAGCAGCAGTAACCTGGTTTCCTTTGGTCTCTACAGGAAGTGAGATTAAGTCATGTCCGTTTCTTCTGGGCGTCTGAAAAGAACATTGTGAAGCTCCTATAGATGCCTCAGAATTCCATATACTAACGACTTAGTTATGATAAAGAATGGACTCATTTACTTGGATAGCTGTTGCTCTCTCTGACCGTGACAGGCCATCCAGGGTATATGTGCCCGAGGCGGGGCGCGCGTGTGGCCGCCTGCCCGCTGTGCTCCTAGGGAAGGGCAGCGGTATGCCACGTCGTCTTACTGTGAAGATAGGGCGTCCCCAGAACTGGTCGTTCATATACACATATAACAGAAACGTCCTTTAAGTTAAAGATGTTTTCTCCTTAAGTAATGACGGACTCACAAGAGCCAAATAACAAAACTTGAGTACCTTTCTGCCAAACATTTCAGTTCGTTCTAACTTTTAAATTGAGGATTTTTCATAAAATTTTTTTTAATGTTTTTTATTTATTTCTAGGGGAGAGAGAGAGAGACAGCGTGAGCAGGGGAGGGTCAGAGAGAGAGGGAGTCACAGACTGAAGCAGGCTCCAGGCTCTGAGCTGGCAGTCAGCACAGAGCCCGATGCAGGGCTCGAACCCACGAACCGCGAGATCATGACCTAAGCGAGAGTCGGACGCTTAACCGACTGAGCCACCCAGGCGCCCCAAATTGAGGATTTTTAATAGCCCCCGAATTCGGTACAGAATCACTCCATCTTCATGCATCATTCTCTTCAGCAACTTAACCTTCTCAATCTAGAATATGTCACACGGCCAAGCAAGAATCACTGTGGGAAAATTCCGCACCGAACCCCACAGTTCAGCCTGTCACGAGCCCGTCTGTTTAAATGCAGCAGAAGCAGTGGCTGCGCTCCGGCCGTCAAATGCAGCTGCCGGCGCCGGTGCCCAAACGTGCTTTTTCTTGTACCGACAGAAGCAAAAAGGTGAGGGACCCCAGGCTGCGTGCTGCCGGCACCGAGTGTCTCCAGGCTAGCAAGTGCACCCTGCTGCTTCCCGAGGTGAGTGCGGGTGGCTCCAGCCCCCCAGCTGGGGGTTCGGTCCTTCCTCCTTCCTATTACCACCCCCTCAGGCGGGCGCCTAGCACGGGCCCAGAGCGCGTGGCCAGGCCGGGAGACCCGGAAGGCCCAGAGCACCTGCTTCCCGGGTCGGGGTCGGAGGTGCGGGCTCCTGCAGCGTTCCCAAGCCGCCAGTGTGTAAAGTGGTCTTTGTATCTCCCGAGCCTCCATTTTTCTGAATGTAAAGTAGGCAGAGGCTGCTGTAACAGAATTTTCTAACTGGCAGCTACTCCTCGTGGAGTCTACCTTCACATTTCTATAAAGGATCTGGAAACTGCTTTGGATGCCAAGCTTAGAATAACCTGTAGAAGTGGGGGAAATGTCAGGAGTATAATCTAAATTATAGCTACTCTGTAATACCTCAGGAAAAAGTTCCTACGGCTGGCTTCATCATCCTATCGTATTCAAAAAGGAGCGTAGGTAAAACAGAAGCTGTCCCCACCGTGGGTGGCACCATAGTTGTAACAGCACATGTTGAACGAAATGCACAAATTATGGAAGGTTTTCTAGAATCTGTAATATTAACAGTGTTGCTGTGCTTTAGATACAAGGCTAAGCAAGTCCTAAAGAGGAACCACACAAATCATCAGGTGGACATAGAGGCTTACCTAGGACGAGGGCTGAGAAGGTTCTAGAACAGTCTATGTTCAGAATTCCTGGAAGATGTGGCAGGACCCCTGTATTTTAATCAGGATTTTAAAATTATAACTTTGTTTCTCAAATCCCAAAATACCCTGGGAAGAGAGAAAGCCAAACAAGATGGGGGGAGGGGGTGGCAGAATGGAGAGTTCCAGACCCAGCACCAGTCCGAGGCAGGGACACGTTGTTTGTTTGTTTAAAGAACACGAGGGTAAGTCCTGCGGGAGGATGGCGTCTTCTGCAGTGACCTGCCCGGGGTGCAGGGGTGACGGACTCCCGGTGTGCCGGCCCCCCGTGAGCTGTTGCGAACATTCTCCTCCCCGCAGGGAACCGAGGGCTCTTTCAGCATCGACAGCGAGGAGTACGAGGCGATGCCCGTGGAGGTGAAGCTGCTGCCCCGCAAGCTGCAGTTCTTCTGCGACCCCAGGAAGCGAGAGCAGCTGCTGCCGCCCTCTGCCCAGTGAGCCGAGAGCCCGGAGGGCAACTCCCGGTGGGACCAAAAGGGAGCAGAGGCCTCCCCCCTCCCCGCAGGGCTTCTCCCGGCCAGTACCCGCCCCTTTGAAGCGCTCCCTCAGGGCTCCCCAGCCCGCCTCCCGGCTGCGCATGCTCCTCCGTCCCTGGGCCACTGTCTCCCCTCCGTGCCGCCATCCCCAGGCCGGGTCCACCAGGGGCCCACGTGCAGTGGAGGGAAAGGGGCCGGGACTTGAGGGAGGTGCCTGCCTTCCCCACCGCCGCCCCCTGTCTAGGCCTCTCCACGGGTGCTGCTACCTTCTGAGCGCAGATTCCATTGTAGCTGGTCCCCCTCCTCCCCTCAGTCGTGGCTGAGACGCTGTAAGATACGAGTTTGTATTATTTTCTCAAGTAGTGCTTAAGTCTTGGTTTGCATGAGAACCAGCTGGGGTGCATGTTGAAAACCTAGCAACTCAATCTGGGGCCCCAGGATCTGCATTGCTAAGAAAGCGGGCACCCTTCCCCAGGTGCGACTACTCCGCGAGGTCCCCCAGCCTTCGCTGGCCAGTGTTGTAAAAGCACACCATCCGCGCACCCCTACAAGCATTGGGGAAGATCCTGTATCCCTCACACTTTCTAGATATCAACTTACGAGTTGCCTATATGTGTATTTCCTGGTGTCATGTAAATATTATTTTAAAATAAAGCTGTTATATCACTCTTTTAAACCTATTTGGTGCAATTTAAATATACAGCAATTTGACTCTTATCCTCCATTTACAGAAATTAAATGAATAGTTTCTTCGGTTATTTCCATACCACTTTCAGCAAAGAATGCTATCATGATCTCTTTTCATACTTGAAGTTTCATCACTTGCCCTATTTTCTTGCCAACAAAAGATATAAACGGAAATAATTTTTTAGCGTTAGTACAGAATTGGCTTTCATCCATTGTATTTCAATAATTTTTAATTATCAAAAATGGGTAATCTAAACTTTATGAAAAAAAATGTTTTCCCTAATGAGTTCAAGAACACGTTACTTACAGCTTAGAACAGGACTGAACATCATTTATATTCCTTGTAGTTTATAGACCTTAAATAGAGGAGACAATTCTAATGTCATACAGTTCTTCGACTTCCTCTGGAATTACATGTCAAAAATTATTATTAATGGTCTATCAAGTTAACTGCTTAATTAGATCTTCCTTTAGTTTGCTGAAAGTAGAAACTACCTGATTTGAGAAGGATTTGTTATGGTCGAGGCCTTATGGTCATTTACTCTCACTACTACCACCGGCATTTCCCTGTGGGGCCCCTGTGGCTTTCAGACTCCAGAGGGCGGTGCCTGGGATGGAGGAGATGTGAGCCTTTCTCCTTGTAAAGAGGAAAGAGAAGTGCAAAGGGGCAGGCTTGGCCACAGCTCATCCTCGGGCAGATCGTACGCATACCTGTGCCCATGAATTCCTTGGAGAGTGAAGACGAACGCTTTTAAGGATTACAAAGCAGCTTCAAAAAGCTCATGAATGAAGATCACAAAAAAACCAGGCTTACCTGTTTAGCTCTGTATTCAGACTGGTGGTAAAAGCCGTGCTTTGCCCCCCAAAACCCCGCAGTGTAAGGAGGACCCACTCCGTGGTGCCCACTGAGGGGAGCGGGAAAGCTGTGGGAGGAGGAAAAGTTTGTACGCGAGCCAGGAAGGAGCATCTTAAACCATCTTGGTTTTATGACAAGACTGTAAAGGACGAGCCCAGAAGGGGGCCCGCTCCCTCCTTGATCGGCTACCAGCACGTGTGTGTGTGTTTAGTGGTTCAGGTCCTTCCAGTGAAATAACGGGATTTCAATTGGGGAAAGATACCGAATAGATTTACCTTCTTGATTCAGGCTATTCCTTGTGAGAACATAGTTTCTTATTGTTTATGGTCTTGTTCTTTCCATGGTCCCAGGGCAGACCGTCCAGGTCAAGTACACTCCTATTAGGCACAAACCTTTTCAAAGACTAATTTTACTCAAAAGCGATATTATTTCTACTACCAATCCAGAAGCTTCCTAGTGCACACGGCTCTTGTTACCGCGCGCAGGGCTTGATTCACACACACACACAAGTGGTCACCACGTTCTCACCCCATCCCGGGGCAGTCGGTCACATACGGCCATGTGCCTCGGAAAGTAGGAACCTAGCTTTGAATACAGCGTCAGCGATGTTTGTTAGGTATTTTACCCTTAAAACAACTCCCCCAAAGGTTAAATATGAAATAAAACTTCAGTATGTGGGCACGGTTCTTCCCAGCTTTGGTCCCCGTTACCTGGAGGATGTCTACGCAGACCATGGCCTCTAGGAGGACAGGTACCAGGCTCTCCGGCTGCTCTGGCACTGTGAGCTCTGCGTTCAAGTTCGGCTCATACACTGGGCTCTCCCTCCTCCCTACCACAAACCACGTTTCTCGGGCCAGCGAAGGACTGAAGCACACACTTTCATGTTAAAATGTGAATTTTAATTGTAAAAATTGTTTTCTGTAAATATAGCTATATCAAGCTCTCTGCACACAACCTCGTTCCGATATATACAGATAATGATATACACAGATGTTATTTGTACCACAAAACAATCAATCATTAAAGAAACATTTACTCCTCGTAGCTTCAGGACGAACACCGGCTTTCTTTAGGCCATTAAAATCAGTACTATTCAAAACAAGAACGTACCCGTGCACATGAGTATTCAGGGTGAAATTTATCCACGGTCTTACTAACTTCATACTATGAGGTAAAGAATTTAAACAAAAATAGATTTAGTGTCTCTTATTGCTATAACTCTTACGCTGGGGTATTAATCAAAATAGGGGTTTGACATTTAAGGCGACAGGGAGGCTATGCTGATCCTAACTTGGGAGAAACAGGGACACCATTTTTCCAAGGCAACAGCCATTCTTTTTTCGGAAAAGGTGGACTTCCCAGACCTATTAAAAAAAAATTTAGCCAACAAGCTTGGGCAAATTAAGGAGGTTGACTTTGTTTTCCTCTGCTCCGTACCCCTAAAGTCTCCTCCCTGGGCTGTTCAACAGCACAGAATCCATACCTTTCCTTATTATGGTCTTTGTGGGCACTCTAGACAAACTATTCCTGATGCCGCCTTCAAAGTTTTTGTTTACTTTTTTTTTTAATCTTCGCTTGATTTGGCCTAAGGAAGTTTTCACTCCAACGTCAATGAAATATACTTGCAACCAGCTAACACCATGGCCCCTCTGTGGATTTTTCATTTTGTGGTCCATCCCTGGCTAATTTCTAAGGCCCTACCTACCCCTGCGGTTCCCCAGCTGTCCTTAGAAAGCAGAGGAAACATACTGTTAGTCTAACCACGCCTTCTACAGCAAACGTAAGTAATTCACACCTATCCTTACACTACGGTAAGTAAATAAATTTTCTGAATTTAGATTATGTTACTGCTAAAAGCCCATGCTACACTGAGCTTCTAGAATAACTCTAGAGAGGGTTCCCCCCCATCATAACTTGTAATCACTAGAAAATTCATATTTCCTTTCTAAATGTGCAGTTTCACCCAAGTGCCCCCGTCCTGTGGCTCCAGAAAGAATTAAAGTGCCAGGCAGAAGACCACGCGACTCCAGGAAGAGGTCTGCCAATCAGCCCCCTCACGTTTACACCTTTTGTACAAGGGTTTTGCTGAGGGTCGGTGCCGATCATCCTCGTGAGGACCCTCCCTCCCGCTCACCTCCCACGTGGCTAAGACTTCAGAGCACAGCGTCCGTATTCACACTCAAAGACAAGTAATGACACTTCTGCGGGGTTTCAGTTGCTTCCAAATTACAAAACTTCCTGTCCTTCCATGATTCTGGTTTTGAAATTTTCTTCCATTTCCACATCTGCACACTTATCACATAGTAATATCAGTATAAAAATAAACTCCCATTTCTCATACGAAAAGCAGTAACTTAATTCACAGTTAGCCTCTCCCCCAACACTCAGTGCCCGAGCAGCTCCCGGGAACAGAGGTATATTCGCCATCAGATGGAGTCTTCGAAACCCAAGACTCGAGAGTAAGAGGAGCCCTTGACCTTCTCTGCCCCGACCTGGAATCAGACAAGGGTCTTCCTGAGGCTGAGGAGGGGCAGGTGGGGGCGGGCTGAGGTGAGCCCCCGGCTCTGCAGGAGCCTCGCTGCAGGGCACGGAGTGCAGTGTGAAGACCCTGGGGCTGGACCCCACAGATTCTGAGCCCACTAGCGAGGGACCTGACATGGAGGTAAAAGTCCCCACATGCCACGTGGGCTCCTACGTTGACTACCCTGCCCGTTTCAGAACTGGTATCCCACAAAGGATTGTCACTGTCAAGCTGATCATCATCTTACAATTTTATTCGATGCCCTCCTGCTCCTTTACCTTTGCAAGTAAGTACGGGGACTGGAGAAAGCCACTCAATCCATTCCCGGGGCTATGCCGTTTCGGGGGGGGGGGGGGGAACCAAAGGGTCCCTGAGGTCCCTGCCTCTTCCCAGAGGGTTGCGTCCTACCATTAAAAAGTTAATTCGTGACTGCCCTTTACAGAAGCTTCCCTAAAAGGCCTCGGTTAAAAGGTGAATAATCTCACCTTTTACTGTGTTGGAAGGGCTTTCAGTGTATCAAGACAAATAGCAAGCCCGTTCTCGTAGCCACCGGAATGAAAAACAGCGATTCAGCTCTGATTTACCTTTGCCTTTATCTTCCAGCTAAAATATCAGGGAGTTACACTGATAAATGAGTCTTCTCAGGTGATATTTAGAATGATCTGTGCCCTGTGCTACACTTCAGTTTCCCATCTTGATTTTCACGGGGAGCAAAACAAGGTAAGTTATGGATGCAAGGTCTGGGCCAGATTACTTCTGTCGCTACCAGTGACCTCAGCCCCCCTCCCCCTGGTCAAATGGAAGAAGAGCCGGATGGCAGCTGTGGGAGGCGAGTGCCCTCTGACTCATGGCCGTCCTGTTGCCCGAGGACTGTGCAAAGCCCCAGGTGGCACAACCATACAGGAACAGATCGACACTGAGCCTCAGGAGTGCTTCGTGCTTGATTAAAGCATAGTTAATTCTAAACAAATTGTTTAGCTCACACTTTTTGGTCTCGTAGATCAATCCCACCATTTCTGACTCCTGAAGAAGAATCCTAAGTCAGCACGCCACTGGACATCTTCTCCAAGGCTGACTTTTACCATCTGCCGACGCTGCAGAATCGAAAAAACCCACCTTAATGGGGCTTTGTCACATTTGGTGGGACATCAGTAAACCTCGGGCCTGGATCTGGTCCCACAACAGCAGCAGCCCGGGTGTCTCAGGTGAGCACATGGCTCACGGCACGGCATTAGCAGCTCGAACTGAAAGTTCGCAGAGGACCAAGCCAGCTGAGATGAGGCAGGGGAGGGGTGAGGTTCCACAGCTGAGAAGGGCAGAAGGCTCTCATGGGTCCAGCCACCCCACCCCCGGCTTCCAACTCTGCCCAAGGAGTCTGTGGTTAACGATCCTGCACCTCCAGAGCTTATTGATCTATGAAGTGGTGAAGAAGCATGTGGACCCATGTCCTCTGACCAAAAGCAGAAAGGTTGGACGGGGCAGCGAACGACGCTGGGTGGTGCCGCTATCTGGAGACACTGGGGAGAGGGCGGGGGGCTGGGAGCAGAGGCAGGTACAAAGAGAGCCTTCCAAAGGTGACCTCAGGAACAAGTGGCTCTGTGTTACAGTGACTAGAGCGCCACGTGGCCTGTTGCCCAGCCCGCCAGAGGCGGCGCTGTGCTGGGTTCTGGCCGAGGAGGAGGCTGGCAAGGGAAGGGCGGCTGGGTTCCCTCATAAACGGAATACGGGATGGGACGGGGGCAAGTTCTGTTTTGGGGTCAGCCGCGCCGAGGCTCACTCGTGTATGCCCCTCCGCACCCAGGCCCCGGCGCCCTGCACGAGCGCGAGGGGACCGCACACAGCCGCCTGGAAGAGTTTACCCAACCCACCATTCAGAGGGAAGTACAGGAAACTTATTTCACCTTACGACCTTTACGTGAGCATTTAGGAGCCTGGAGTTCCATAGAATTCCACAGAAACACAAGGGTTTGCATGCAGAAGGGCGCGGGGACGGACGTGCTTAAAGATAGTCCTCTTCCAACAAACCCCTCAATCCCAGAGGAAGGGGGCCTATGTCCACTAAGAGAATCCGACCCTTCCCGCTTTGGTTGGACCACCCCTTAACTTACAAAACCTTGAGCCTTCAGACACCGCTAAAAGTCATCATTCTTTGACCCAAGTCAGAAAGGCCACTCCTTCCCCAGAGACAAGAGAGGGTTGCTCTTCAAGGAAAGAGGCGGCGAAGCTTTTTTGTAAACATCTATATCGCTGAAATGGCTAAATCCACACTGCAGAGGAGAAAAGTGTATTCGTTGTACAGTTTACATTTCAATGCCCAAACTTATTTATATATTTACATAAAAGACCCTACTTTGATTAATCAATATGTATTTGCATTTTTACACGTGAGTTTCTTTAGTCTTGAATCCCCTGTCGCGGAACTATAGTGAAAATATTTTTGAATAAAGCAGTGAGCCCTAAAAAGCTCTAAGACCTGTGTTCCATCCATTTGAGAGTTATTTCTCTGCTGTGTGTTGTAGCCTGGCTGGACCCTGGTCACAGACATTGATACCTGGATGGCCATTCCGATAACGGAGCCGGGGAAGAAGATCAAAAAGGAAGAAGCTGTCACCAAAACCCAGGAGCCTAAGACAAAATCCTCAAGGATGGTCAAAAAAGCCCTCAACTCTTCTCATAGGAGCTGGCTTCAAACACCTACGGTCTCACCTAAGTTGGCATCCCTGGAAGGCAGAGCCGAAGAGGACAGCCAGGGACCCACAGGCGCCGTCCCAGACCGAAACATGTCAGGGGGGCGCAGGTGAACTCCTCACTGACGCTCGGGGGTTCCAAGCCCTTCCCTGGGCTGTCAAATTCCAACCAATCCAGCCATCTCTGGCCCAACTACTTAGCTCAAGGAATGTCAACTCTGCTGACAAGAACTTGGTTTGTGAGGGCTCCAAACTCGTACACAGTCATGTTCCCATGCTCCAAACTCTGAGTGACCAGCCCAGATCCCTGCTGGATTACGGACTCCAGCGAATCTCCGTTTTGATGCCGAGGTTCTGCCGGTGACATGTCCAGAGAACTCTCAGATGGAGAAACATCTTCTTTCCATCCTGTTTGAACCCCAACTGCTCTACCTTTGGTGGGAACAAATATTACTCTTTAAAAATACCTAAATCACTCTAAGAGCAAAGTTAGCCCTTAAAGGAAACGAAATTGTGAAATGAATTTGCTTGCCAGCTCCAGGGCCACCCTGGGGGGGANGGGGGGGGGGGGGGGGGGGGCGGTGCAGAGAAAGGAGTTTTACACTGAGTGGCCACCGTTCATTACTTTGAGGAAAGTTTCAATGCCTCATTCTACAATTTTAGTTTTCAGCTGGCTGGTAAGAAACCTCTTCCTGTCATTCTGTGCCCAGAGAAGCTCACGCTTAGTGACGGAAACAGTGTCTTGCTCCTTTTTGAGGGCTCAACTCACATGGACAGAAAAGACACAGATTTGCCCCAGGGAACAGGAAAAGGGATCTGACCCCAACACTGGACTCCCAGAACTGATCAAACACCTTGGAAGGTCATGAGGTCTAGCTTCCACCTTTAAGAGATGCACGTCCACAGGCCACACTGGACAGAGAACTGCAAGGGATGAAACTCGTGGAGACTTTCTAACAGTCCACCCCGGTGTTTCCGAAGCTCAGCCCGCTCCCAGTGACAGACGGCCTTCACCACGTTCCCTCAAGTCACTCAACCAGGACACAAGAGAAGCTATGCAGAAAACGCCTCTGACCAAACCCAGGCAGCAGCTCTGGGAGAAAGTGGTCGGTTCCAACATGGTACCAGGGCAGGGCACAAAACCAAGGTGGTCTCATCTTACCACTAGGAAGGAAAGGAGAAAGGAGATTGCAAAAAATCACGCTTGTTGGAAAGTATAAACCATATTCCTCTGTGTCAACTTAATAAAAACTGAGGTCCTCCAGGGCCCTGCGTGAACTCCCCACGTGAGTAGCAGCTCACCGGTCTGGGCTCACTCTTCCTATGGGCAACAGGGGTTGTCAATGACCAACATGACGTCGATGCCATAGGCCTCCAGCAGGTCCATTAAGAAGCTCCGGTCACCTTGGGGGTCTAGACCCATGCCCCGGGCGTGCTCAGCGGTCAGAGTTTTGTCTTGACTGGCGGACACCTCCAACAGAGTCTGAAATATCCGGTTGTTCTGCTCTAGGAAAAACCTGCATTCACAAGATAAGACACAAGGAAGGGAGGGCAGGGAAAAAAAAAAGGGGGGGGGGGGTGTCACCAAATAATCCACACGTGAGGAACCAAAACTACATTGCTTTCTTCCATATGCTTTTAAATGGTTTCAAAAATCAGAAAGATCTCTGAAAAATAAGAACATTAGGACCAAAGTTCAAGGGTTATTAAAGTGACACCAAGTTTAGCAAAGAAACCACTGGCATTAGTCATGGCATGACCTGCCAAGTCCCTGCACAAGTGATGGTCTGCCTCCCAAAAGCCACCTTTCCTGTGGAAGGTTATGGTGTTCCTCGTTCTGCTTAGTCGGGGGTGGGGTGGGGAGAGAAAGACAAACTGAAACCCCAGAAAACCCCGGATGATGCAGCTCTGAGGTCAAGACTTAATGTGAGAAAGTAAAATTCACTTTCAAAGCCCCAGACAGGGCACTGGGGCCAGCATCATAGATGAGACTTAGCGGGGACAGAGCAGGGCCCTGAGAGCCACCGCAGAGCATGCCAGGCTGCCTCTGGCCGTCCACACAGGAGAGGTGGGGCTCAGGCTGGGTGGCCACGGGGATGGCTGATGGCCACCATGGCTGGGAGTGAAAGGCAGAGGGGACAGGGAGCCTGCTGTCACCAATACTGCCCTAGCTCCCTATCACCCTCGGGTATTTGTTTTCCTTTGGTTACTTTCTGTGTGTGTTGGGGGGGGGGGAGGATTATACACAGAGCATGATTTATGGGTCAATGATTTATAGCACGACATAAATTTAGGAGCCACGTTCAGAAAAGGCATGAACTGTCTAGACCTTTCGGCGCTATTCCACAGGGCTCTCTGGTTCTGCCAAGACACCTAGTGCCCAAAGAAGCTCTAAAGGCTCAGGAATTTCAGGTTCAGTGGACCGGGTCAGACCCTGACGACATTCCTGGCTCGCTGCTCAATGCTGAATACTTGTAGCCCTGCGCGTCGTGGTGGGTGGGGAGGTACGCTTTCAACATCCCAGCCAGAGAGGGTTCTAGCTGCAAGTGCCAGGCTCCTTACCCCCACCCCGGGACGGGGGCAAGAAGCCAAACAGGAAGCCAGGAGAACTGGTTTCTGTTCCCATTACAGATCTGTAGGCCCGCCGAGCGCCGTTGCACGCAGCCGCTCAGAAATCACACAAACGCTGTAAGGCATGGAGCCGAGGGCTCCTGCCCCGACCACCAACCAGCGCATCGGGGAAGGCGGCTTCACTAGGCTCAAAAGTTAACGTTTCTGACTGTCCCGTAATACCCAACGCAAGCAACTGCTTTATTCAAACGAAGCAAGAAGCCCCTGAACACCGAAGGGCAGACGCCTCTGGGCAGTGGACCTCTGGAACTGAATGTTCGATGGAAAGACAAAACGTCAGGACTCGCATCTTCCTCTTCCCTGCTTCGTCCCCTAACTCCGCCGGGGGTCCCCCAATGGCAGTTTAGGGCTCACGGTGGACGCCACACGGAGCCCAGCTCTCAGTGGACCCGGCAGCGATAAAGGACAGCCCTGGCCGGCCAAGGGTGACACGGGAGGGGTGGAGGCCTGAGGCGGCGAGTGCTCGGGGACCCTGGGGGGAGCCCCGCCCCGCCGCCCCCGGCTGACTTACAGCACAAAGAGGTCCTCCTCACAGGGGGTATAGTCTTCTTCCAGTTCCTGGGAGTAGAGCAGCATCTGCCTGTGGTGATGGAGGCCCCCGTCACGCTCCGGTGCCGCCACAGGGCCCCCCACACTGGCTAGGTCGTGGGTCAGGCGCCTGCACAGGCGAGCAGCTTCTGGCCCCCCTAACCCCCCCCACCCCAAAGCAGGGAGAGACAGGAAGGGAATAAACGGGGCTTGGAGTCACCCCCCCACAGGGCGATCTCAGGAACGTGGCAATCTTTCATAACTGCCCATAAAACAGGGATGATGATGATATTGATATTGATTCCACCACTGACCCCAAAGGATACCGTTTCGTTCACAGGGTAACCAGATTCCCGAGACCCGCAAGAGATAACTCACAGGCAAGCTGCCAGTGCTGGTCTCGTGAGGGGCTCGTGAAATGCTTGTTCTCCGCCCTGGGTCTCCCCGGTTCCAACCATCAGAAAGAAGTCACCCCACACACACTGCTCCCCGCCTATCAGGATGATGTGCTAGGAGCCCGGCCTCCTCATCCGCAGGCTCCCCTTCACCCCCAGTCCTGCCCTGGGACAGGCAGTGCCCTGGGGCTGGGTCTCTCTCTCTCCCCGTGGGTGCTGGCCTTGGCCGCACCCGCCACCCCACGTGGGCACACGCGTGCGGGGACCCCGGCTCCCGCTACCTCTGCTCGTTGAGCCGCCGGTACTTCTCGCGGTCGGCGCTGTTGATCTTCAGCAAGGGCTGCAGGTGGTCATGGTGTGTCTTCACGTTCTGGTTATCCACGTAGACGTCATACAGCTCCCGCTTCTCCTCGAAAATCTTCTCCGTGGTGCCTGTGACATCCAAGCTTAGGGTATGGGGACCCGGAGGCCATCACTGAAAGGCACCAGCCCGACCCCACTGGGGAAACAAGGGGTCTGGAAGCCCCACATCTGTGAGGAGAAGGGGCCCTTGGGGAGCTGGACGGCCAGAGCCTGGCTTCCGGCAGGGCTGTCACAGGGACCCGGGGTAAGGGTGT